AAGGAAAGGGGAAGGAAAAAGAATGTTCTTCTAACTGAGGAACTGAACTCTGATTCAGGTAATCTCTGTTAAATTTCCAGTTGCTACAAACCCTTCGGCTGTGACTTTAAGCAAATCCCTTGGCTCATCAGAGGTCTCTTGGAGAACGAATTTTTTTTAGAACGGCGACTGACTCTTATTTTATGCTTCGCAAAAAAGGGCCGAGATCTTGCTGAGCGCTCTCTTGCAGCCTCTCCTTCGATGAAAATTAAAAAAATTTAAAAAAGGTATAGAAATGTTTCACTGAAATACATAATTTCACAACGTGTCAGGTGTTGGTGACGTCTAGGAAATGAGCAAGTGAACTTTTGGAGCTCGGGGTACGGGTCCCATCTGGTTCCCCTGACGCTGTGAGGGCCCGGTAGTTTGCGGATGCGGGATGCAGGATGCGGGATGCTCCCGCCCGCGCCGCAGTGGATCGTGCCGTCCACACTAATCAGCGGCTGCTCCTGCTCTTAAAGGCATCTTTCCCATTTCCCGGGAAGCCGCTAAAAGGAGGGGGCTCTGGGATGATGGTGTCCTGCCCCAGCTTGAGGTGGCCTGGCAGGGGCCGCTCCACGCCACCCCTTTTACTTCTTTAACCCCTTCTGCTCCCTCCAGAGTTTCAGGCCGGCAGGAGAGGTTTGTGAGGAATAATCCCAGCTGGTTCAGAGAATTTGAGAGCAGCTTTATCCCTAATTCTGCAACAGAAACTTACTTGTCCGATTGCCTTTCCCTGCGGGCATTCCCCCTCTTGTCCTCACCTACATTGCATCCCTCCGGGTCTGACCTCCCTTCCTCCCCATCCTGTGTACCTTTTGAGCAGTCCCAGTGCTCGTTTGGAAACTTGTGGGTACATACAGAGCACTAAAACTTTGCATGTGCACCCTGGCTTATGTTTGGGTTAGTCTGCTGTTATTCCCCTTGTTTGAATCACAGAATCATAGAATGGTTCGGGTTGGAAGGGACCTCAAAGATCATTGAGTTCCAACCCCCCTGCCATGGGCAGGGACACCTCCCACTAGAGCAGGTTGCTCAAGGCCACATCCAGCCTGGCCTTGAACACTTCCAGGGATGGGGCATCCACAGCTTCTCTGGGCAACCTGTTCCAGTGTCTCACCACCCTCATAGTAAAAAATTTTTTCCTGAAATTTCCTGAGAAGAAATGGTTTGAAAACCATTTCATTTCTGCAAACTGTTAAACTTGTTGACCCAGCCCAGGCAAGGCCCATGTCTTCACCTCCATGCTCTTCAGCCTTTCCTCACTCTAATGACTTGCCTCTCTGCTGTCAAAAAAGTCTGTCCATCCATCTTTTTCAACATCACCCTGGAAATCCTTTCACTTCTTTGCCATGATTTCACATGTAACTCATGGACTTGAACTGTATATCCATACACTACGTCTTTTGAGGGGCTGGTCTGACTGAAAGTATAAAGAAAGTTTTTCTTTGTTAAAATTATTATTTAAAGATAATTAGGAAGTTAATTGTGCAGTAACACCCAGGAACTAAGTTCTTTCTCTTAGGCATTATTATTATATAGATAATACACTTTTGTTTGCAAAATAAGGGTTTATTAGAGTGTCTTCCTCTACTAGCACTGTCCTCACGTCTCGGGACTTCCATCGGCCTGAGCTGTTCTCTTGTTGAGCACTTGCAATATACTTCCAGGGCAAAACTTGCTGGATGCTACAAACTCTTTCTGACTTTCAGAGTGCTGTCACATATGCCAAGAAAATTTGTACCTGCTGAATGATTAGAAGACTTGGTGGCTTCTGGGTGGAAAACCAGTGGTGAAGAATTTTGGCTTGGTTATGATCTGATACACTGCAGAACTTGAAGCTCTTCCATTTCATATTGAAACAATGAACTTTGAGCTTTTGAACATTTCATGCCACAGGTGTTCTAACATTCAGTGAGTAAAATCATAGAATAAATTAGAATGGAAAGGTCTCATTTAGGTCATCAACCCTGTACAAAATGGACAATTTCAAAGCTGGAATAGGTTGTTAAGGACCTTGTCCATATGTCTTCTGAAGCTCTCCAAGAATGGAGATTACTCAGCCTCTCTTGGCACTTCTTCCCCTTACTGAATCATCCTTGTAGAAGGAACCAAATTTTCCTTACATATAGGTGAAATTTTCCTTGGTGCAACCTGAATGTTACCTCTTGTCCTTTTGTTGTGCACATATGTGAGAACCTAAAAGTCACTTCTGTGGAGGAGCTGCTTCTTCTTTTCTGAATTTTGGCCATTTCAGTCATCTCTGAAATTAGCAAGTAATTCCTTGACTTCCATCCATATAAATTCTCCCTGTTGACAAATATCCAGAGGGTACTGCCAAAATCTTCCTTGATTCATACAGTACTGGCATTCAGATAAATTAATAAATATTTCCTAGATCATTAAGTTCTACTAGCAGGCAACTTTGCTCGAAGCTTGAAAATAAATGGAGTTGTTTCCAGGGGCTCTGCCAGGAGATTGATGATGCAGTTTCATGGGCCAATTTAAAATACTGTTGCTTGCAAAAAAAAAAGGGAGTCCTGCCATATTGTATTTCCATCCCTGGCCATTTATTCCAGTCCCCTTCATTGCACCAGCTCTAGTGTTTTCAGGATGTCGCCTGGAGCAGCTGCCTGATCCAACTGGGACTGTCCTGGTGTCAGTGTGGTACACAGGTGTCTCAAGCTGTTTCTGCAACTGTACCCATGGACTCGGAGCTCTGTTTGCTTTTCCTGGCTCTGGGTGACAACCAGGGCGAGTCTCTCTGTGCCATTTCATCCATATGTGGAATAACATGGGAACCAACATCAATAACGTATTGCGAGATATACGTGGCAAGGAAACGTAAAGTATTAGTACTTCACAGAATCACAGAATCACAGAATCTCCTAGGTTGGAAGGGACCTTAAAGATCATCTTGTCCAACCGTCAACCTAACTGACAAAAATAGACACCCACACAACAAACAAGGAGCATCATCACTAAATCATATCTCCCAGAAACTTATATGGAAACAATTTCTTCTAGATTCTTTATAGATAAATATGAGGACCCAGTGAGTTTATAATCTAAGGGCGATTGAAAGGCTTGTAGAAATGGCAGGATGTTACAATTTTATTAATCAGGTTGTGAATAGTACTCATTTAAAATTGTAAGATACCAGAATAGTCGCACTATAAGTCCTGTATGAGTCTAATATTCAGAATAAAATGCATAAATTTATGCTCCTATATCTGTAGGTAGATATACAGCTATTGATACCTGCTGCTTACTGACGGCTCTTCTAATATTTACAGTGCCAGTTTTGTCACTTTTATTGAGTTTTACCATCCTTTATTCTTAGCCTTTTCTGTAAAAGCCCCGTGTTTTAGCAGTCAGTGTGGGTGTGTCTGGACCATTATCCGTTAGTAACCTTTGGAATAGTTATCTTCTACTGAAATTAGGGTATTAAGGTCTCAAAGATAATTTTTTCATTTGATAATTTTCTCAAAATTATATTGTGATAATTTGATAATTATATCTTTGATATTTATCACAAAGGTAATTTGTTCTCTTATCTCAGAGAAAAGGTTCCTGTAAACTTAATTAAAGTGGTCAACCAGGAAAAAAAAATTCCTGCAAATGTCCCAGAAGAGGAAATGTTGCAAAGTAGACCTCATCAAAGATTCAGCACACAAGAAGGATCTTGTAAGTGCTCCAGCAGATTCAGTCCAAGTTCTTAGACCTGGAACAACTACACAAAACAAGTTCATGTGAAATTCCTTGTTGTTACTTCTGTAGAACTTGTTGGTTCTCATGCTCATGTGAAAACAAAAAGGTGCTAACTTCTTCTTTATTTAAAATAAAGCATTTCCAGCCTGTGTAATTATGGAGAAAAGCTTGACAAAGCTCGATCCATGAAGTTTTGAAAACAATAACATAATTAAAAATAATTGTTGATACAAACATTCACTGTGCCCTCTTAAAATGAGTTGCCAGTCTTCAGTCACCTTACTCACAACTGAGGTTGCAATACCCACAATTTTTAGTAGGCACTTCATTTTTAATGTAATTTCAGGAAACTTTATTACTTCTGGTCAAATTACTGCAGACATTTTTTCAAAATACGGGAAAAGTTACATAGAGCAGAAAAGCCAATGATGATCTACCCTTTGAGCACCCTAGTATACTTTTTTGTGTGTGTATGTGTCTCTGTGGTGCTTCTGCCATGTGTATGGTCTTGGGAAGAATTAGCAGAAGAAATTACAGTGATGTTTGAGATGACCTAGTAGGTCTCCCCATCAGATTGATGGGACCAATATGAGACAGGCTGAATTATTCCAGTGCAAAATGGAGCTGTTAATTTGGCCTGGGAATTTAACCAAATTTTGCTGTGAGATGGATCTAAAGCACTCTCCCTGTTGTTGGTAGTAGTCCTCTACAAAGGCAAAATGCTTTAAATGCTTTCACCTAGGTCTGCCAGAACTCATTTTACTATTACCTAGACCAGTAACACGTAGTAAATTCTTTAATTATCTACAGAAATTGCGTCTAAACAGTCATTCCAATTCACAGGTCAGTCTCATGACTCATGATTACGAAAAGCATTTGCAGGAAGTACCACGTCATCCAGTCCCCTCAGATTATCCTATTTCACTGCCTTTGCTACGGGACTAAGTCAGTACTAAGTAAGCAGTTTTCAGATTTTCCCAGTCTGTTACTTTCCCTTCCCACTCTGATCTATGCACACGAATCCGCATGATTCAGTGCTCTGTCACCAAATAACTGTCATTATACTTGAGACAACTAAAGGAACGTGTTTTGCTGTAGGGAAAAAAAAAAATACCAAAACGAAAACAACAAAAAAACCACCTTTTATTTTTAAAGGTCATCCCTGCAGGTCTGGGATTAGAAATGCAGGGAGCAGGATGTGGGTGTAGAGAGCTGCCCATGCTCCACCTATGGAGCTGCGGGTCTGGCCCCTTCCCCTAGGACCAAGCTTCTCTGCTTTAAGAGCCCAGCTGCTCCACAGGCTGGCTGTTCCAATCGACAATGATCTCTCGTTTCAAGTATGACAGCACTGACCTGCTCGCTCTCCATTCATCCGCAGGTGGGGGCAGCGGAAGGGAAAGGGAGGGAGGCAGAGGGAGGACACTGCAACCTACGTGAATAATTGATAGTGCAAGGAACGGAGAGCAGCTGGGTTCCCTGTCTCCATCCGCTCACCAGCTGGGAATGAGAGATCTTTGCTCAGGTAGGGGATGAGCAGCTTTAGCTGCTTTTATTCTCATCTTGCCTGCAACGCCAATTAAATATGTTTTGCATCTAGAAGGAATCGGAGCGAAGGCAGCTTGGGGGAGGGTTGATCCAGATCTTCTCTGCCGCTTGCGTGGCGTTGTGTAATGGATGGACCTTGGGGCAGTTTCAGCCTCGGCAGGGAAAGTGGCCGTATGCTTTTTAAAAGACATTGTGCTATGCTGTATTGTGTAGAGAAGCAATTAGAGAGAGAGAGCGAGAGAGAGCGAGAGACAGTGGAGGTGAGGAGAGCAGATGTCTGTGTAGGAAACGAGACGAACTGAAGGGATGGAGGGGCATGAAAGGGGGTCTGTCCAGACTCAAAGGAATCCCACCCTGATTCTGTTAACCTTTGGCATAACGAGTCCAACTGGGTAGTGGGAGGTGCTGTCTGTGCACACTAAGTACTATTTTTAGAAGCTTGTGTGCATAGATCTGCGGAAACAGCTGATGTGAAAACATGTATGTTTCTATCTATGGGTGCATCTATGAGTTTGTGGGGACCAAACATAATGTTGTAGCAATACATTAAAAAAGACAGTTTCTGCCCGGAAGAGTTTGCCATTGAAGGATATGCTGCTGTGTTTACTGCGCAGCTTCTGATCTTACAATGACTCAAATAATTAATAAAACTGCAGACATCAGTTTCTGTGTTACAGCTAATACGGATTTTTCCTATGTGAGCAAGATAAAATGCTAAGGCAGTTACAAGAATGAAAAAATTTTGTTAACAAAACCTGGAAGAATAAATAGCATAAGGTATAGACACCTTACTATAATACATACATTAGCATACCTATAGGATACCTGAAAGAACAGAAACTTGTGTGTCAGTCGCTAAAACACACCATAACTATAAAATGCATAATGATCTATGCAAATACAGAGAAATATATGGATTACAGTGTAAGACTATAAGTACACAGAATTAGTCATATAAGAATGCAGATATCAATAGGAACTGAATCTACTTAGTACAACTAAAGGCTTATTATTAGGTGATATCATTGCATTAGCTGTGTAAATAGTAACACTTGTTAGCTTGATTGTAAGTTGAGGAACAGCAAGGGGAAAGGGGACCTGTGACTTGCTTACATGTGGAAGTGATTTACTTGTATGATCATTGCTAAAGGAGGCTAATTAGAACAGTTGTTAGGCTATTTAATAATTGTTTACTGGTGGGTCCTGGGGGCTTTGTACACAACTGGAGTTGGAGAGGAAGACAGGTAAAGCTGTGAGGCAGTGAAATGAAAGCTGAGCCCAGTGTGGGTGAACAAAGTTGGCTCATGTCTGTAGTGGCAAGCTGCCGAAGAACAACAAAAAGACCTGGGCCTCTCTGTATATTTTGCTTTCCCCATGGCCTGGCTTGCTATTGCTGCTGATACTCCCCCTCTCCCTGGGATGGGGAGTGCAGTAGTTAGGGCTGGCAGCACCCTCTAGCAGTGGAAAATAATGTCTCTTCCTCCTTCCTGGAGGCAGCAGCAGTGGTGGCAAGCTTGGCTCTTTGCCTTGGCCCAGTCACATCCCCGCTCAGAGATTCAGGTGAATGAGTAAGAAGTGCTTGTGCAGAGAGCAGCTGTTGTATTCAGTGCCCTGGACTCCTCTGGGCAGCATTTGGGTTGGAGTGAGGAGGTGGGCTGTATGAGGTAGCCCACACTCCAGCATCAGATCTGCTGGAGGAAGAAAAAAACGCAGTAGACGAGAGGAAATGGAAACACCTGGCCTCCATTCAAGTTCCTAAAAACAGCGTGTGGATCCTTGCTTTATCCATTCAAAGTTGTCACCAGCCTTGATTGATACCTTACAGTCTCTTTTCCCACCCACAGACCCGTGAAGCCCCCATAATCATTTCTATCCAGATTATGAGTAGAATTTATAGGAAGCATTCGGATGAAATTGCTGCACCCATCCCTAAAACTTTGATGTAGCTGCTTGCTTCCTTTATTTTTCTTTTTGCCCATCTATATTAGCTCTCTTGTATTTTCAGTCTGATCTCTCTGCATTCTGCTTTCACTCTTTCTTTGTGTCTTTTCCTAGGTCTCTGGCTCTTCTGTCAAATTCTGTCTCTTCTGTGTCCCCTTCATGAGTACAAACAAACCCAGCGTAAGGCTGACGCTTGGCATAAGCTTGTAGCTGTTGCCTTTATGTAAAAGGAAAATGTAATAGCTCTTGATGTAAAAAGGAAACATTACATCATCCTGTGGAATGAAATTGGGAATCACAGGGAAAAAAAAGGTGTCCAGAAGAGGTTTGTGTTCTTATTTAAACACAAGTATGTGCATACTCTTGCAATAGAAGATTGTGTTCTCATCCCCAGTTTTTATCAGGAATGATGATCCATTGATGTGTGAATGCAAATACATGTGGCTTAAGGGGTACCCGACCCCTCAAAATTTGAGCTTCCCTAGGGAATAGCTTACATGTTACGTCAGTGAGCTATTTCATGAGGGGGATGTAAAGCCAAATCTCTACAGTAATTGATGTACATCATCTCCAAAGGCTGGTGGGTTTGGTGTCGTCTTAGTCCTTCCTTCAAGGGAGTGGGGAGCTGTGGAGGATTGCCTTGATGCTTACTTTTCCCCCCGGATACTGAGAGTTTGAGGAGAGATTTTACTCTGCAGCAGAGTTGAATAAGGGACCCCTCTGCTGTCCTTGTCCAATACAGCTTGTCCTACCATCACTGACAACCTGGAGCACAACCTTCCTCGGCCCGGCTGTTGCAGGCTGTGCGCCATCCGCGGATTCCCCAAAAAAGGGGAAATCTTGGGGGGGGGGACTGCTCTCCCACAGCGGAGGAGGGGCAGAACTCATCGTCCCATCCTCCCTCGTCTCCTCTTCCTCCATGTCTCCTCCTTCTCTCCGTCTTTCCCGGGGCCCGGTCCCAGCTGCGAGGTGCCCTTTGCCGTCTCTCCTTTGAAGCCCGGCTCAGGAGGAGGAGGAGGAGGAAGAGGAGGAGGGGTGAGGGCGGGAGCCGGGGCTTTGCGGGGAGCCCGGGGAGAGGAGGAGGAGGAAGGGAGGGGGAGCCTGTGCCCTTCTCCATGGGCAGGCGGGAGGAGAGGAGGCTCCCGAGGAGGGAAGCCGGGAGCTGACTCAGCGGAGCGCTCCAGCATGTGTTCCCGGGAGCACGCCTTCCCTGCCGGAGCCTGCGGAGGGTATGTACCGGTACCGCTGCCGGTACCGGGCCGGACCGGCCTTTTTACCCCCGGCGACGGGGCAGGAGACCGGCTCGGAGCGGGTCCCGCCCCCGGGGGCGGCGGTGTTTTGGGGGAACAGGAGGCAGAGCCCCCCCATAGGGTTGTCTGAAGGAGCGGGGAGCCGAGGAGGGGGGAGGCGGTGGCCGTGCCCCACGGGGAGCGGAGCGGACCCGGTCCCGGTCCCTCTCTCTCCGGGCCCCGCTCGGGTCGGGAGGAGGAGGAGGAGGAGGCGGGCGAGTGAGGCTGGCTGGGGGCTCCTCTCGCTGAAGGCAAAGAGAAGGAGTGAGGGAGGCCGGGTTGCTCTCCTCCTGCCTCCCCGGCGGTGAATGAGGTCTCCAGGTTGGACTTCCATAGGAGGTGGCAGTGCGGGTGCCCAGTGGGATGAATTTCCCCCGGGAGTTCTCCTTTCTCCTGACCTACAGGGCAGTACCTGGTAGGGAGTGAGAGCTAGATGGGTTCTCTGGGTCTTTTTGGGTACCCTGCCCACCCTTTTTGGGTACCCTGCCCACCCTTTTTGGCAGTGCAAGGAGAACCCTGAGCAGAGAGCAGGGATTGCCCTCATGTTGGAGCAGTGGTCCTCACGGCTGGGATGGGGCAGGAGATCCCCAGCAGCTGGAAATGAGATTCCTTGACTGGAAGTCAGTCTATGGGCAGAAAAGTTTGTGACCAGCTGAGACCAAACTGCATTTCACCCGTCACAGTTGCTTCCTTTTCCTAGATCTGTCTTGGTAGTTCTTTTTCTTGAATTTTAAGTAGTTGTGTGTGAGAAAAATTCAAAGCTGGAGTTTCTATACATACTGCTGTGAGTAGAGTAAGGCTAATTGTGTCGTGTTCTCAGCTGTCTTTGTGGAATACCTAAAAATCTTATTTGGTAGTGCAAATATGTCTCTCTAAGGGAGAAATAAAGGAGTGAAAAAGCAGAAGCTGTTGCTCAAGGGAAGTGCTTGCCTGGAATTTTCCTTACAAGCATTTCAGGCCTGTTCTTGTTGTTTCAAATTATCTTCAGTTCTTCTGAATTGCCTGTCCCTTCTAGGGAGTGATTTCAAAAACGTATCAGCATTTCATTGCAAGAATCATTCATCAGGCAGGGACACCAGCTATTATACTGACTGTCATTCCATAATTAGCTGCAAATCTTGCCATATTGTTTCTCATACTGGAAAGCTTTCAGATTAGCAAGCGTTTTTACAATGGCTATACACCTGCTTCCCTGTGAACATTCAGGAAAAGAGTTACCTAAGGATTTGGGGCACTTCACTCTTCAGAGCACAACAAATCTCCTTTACCTCTGGAATATTTATGAAAGGTGGATGAAAGGCTGTATGAAATCTGTCAAGGCCAATTTGGGTTTTTCTTGGAGCAAATATTTGCATTGACTTGATTATTGAACTGGCTCAGCTACAGCAGATGCGAATGATTTTGAGAGAGCTGTATAGGGAGATTCCAGGACTGAAATAGTAGAGGGTGCTGCCAGGTGGGAATACAGGACACGAGCGGAGTTGTGTGTGTGGAGATAGTGGCTTAGAGGTCTGCAAAGCTGCTTCTTGCACCGTTTCAGTTTTGGGAGTGGAGTCTTTAGCAGTGGGTCAGCAGTGCCTACTTTTAGTTTGGCTATCTGCTTGAAGTTAATGGGCTGGTTACTTTCACTAGTAAAATCTTAGTTTAATCTTCAAAATTTTCTATGCCCTCGGATTCCCTTTGTTACTGTTTCCTGAAAAATAAAGCTCCAGCACGTATACATATTCCTCTCCCAGTCTGCAGAATTGCTTTTCTTTTTCAGAAGGATGTTATTCTGCTTTTCAGTGGTCGAAGAGTTTGAAGCTCCAATTTGAAAAGTATTTTCTTTTTCTATAAATAAAGCATAGTGCTTTTCATTCCAGAACTTCAAAATTCACAAATGGACTTTCAAACGATAGGTACAATGCCCCCAAATTTGTGTGGTATTCTGTAAAAGATAACAGAAAATCTAAGTCATTCTCCTGGACTTTTAAAGTCCCTCAGCGTATTCCTAATCTGGCATAATTACAGAATGGAGAACATCCCTGAATGTGTGATGAGATCGGTGATTTTTGTGTCTGCTGGAGTCATTTTGACAACAGAACTGTACTAGGATTGAATGGTAAGGAGCCGTTGCTGCAAGAAGTACTCAGGTCAGTCCAAAGTATAGAGATGAATTTATGGTGAGAGAACAGGACTGGCCACACTGACCTCATGTAGGAGCTGCCAGATTTCCGTGTTGCAGGTGTGTATTTTACTCTCCACTGAATGCTTCAGTATATGAACCAGTGACAGCCAAAGAAAAGACACTACAGTGTGCAACAAGGCCCCAGGGCATCCCCTTGCACAAAAGTTCTACTATTACCTGTCTCTGGAGATGATTAGTTTCTGAAAATGAGAATTTGTCAAATTAAGCTCTTACCTTTTTAGGGCTCACAGAACAGAAACTTCAGCTTTCTAAAAGAAACAATGAAAATCTTTCATGTACTGCCTTGACATAAATTTTGTTATTCCCAAACATGCTTCAAGTAAATGAATAAAATGATAAGTAAAGCATGTGCTGGTATAATATTAATATTCATTTAAAATACATTTGCCATCTAACTACTCCAATATTTATGTGAGGATGTCAAGAATAACTCCTACATCTTCCCTCGCATGTACATTATGGATTTAATCTTTAGCTGCGTTACACAGATATCTCTCATTTGAGTTTTAGGAGAAAATTGTGGGATGAAAGCATTGTGTTACTTTGTGTAGACCAGCCTGTCTTCAAGTTACATGATGCCATTGGGCTACCCAAGGAATTGGTGGGCACAGAGATTCTTGGAGCTTATAATAGAATGTAGTTTCATGATTACAGAGATACGTTATACCTCCATACAACAGGGAATGTAGCCACTGGGTTCAAAGCAAGAGTCTGTATGATTTATGGATATGAGTCTCTTAGCATGGAAGCAGTGGGAGACATGCTTCTGGCAGCTAGAGGACAACAATTCATGCTTGCATTATATGGTGATACAACAAACAATTAACGACTGCGTGACAAAGTGGAGGAGCCTTGTCTCTTGTATTAGATACTTGGGCTTTGTTCCCAGCCCCACCTATGTGACCCCCACCATGGCTTAAACCCCAGTTGTGACTGTTGGTGAAATCTGTGAATGGTGTGGAAAGTTTACCAGCTAACAGTAGGAGAGCTGCAGCTGGCAGAGAGACTGTCTGTAGTGCAGTGGGCAACGCAATATATATGTCTTTTAAACCACAGTGTATTGTTTGGGTTATTTTTTATTTTCTCTTCTATGAAATCAAATAAATGCTGCTGCTATTTGTATACATTGCCGCTCCAGCAGGGGCCAAAATGATGATATATTTTCAATAGAAGATGTGCAGAGAAAAGCCTATCTAATGTGCACACTGACTTTACCAGCAGTGGTAACGTAGAACCATGCTCATGTCTCTCCTGCAGATCGTATAATTTCTGTTCTGGCACCATCTCTTGTCTTTGAGACTAACACCCAGGCTGTGGCAATTGGGGTGATCCTTTAGGTGCTGATTTTCCTAACATTCAGCTCTTAATATGGTTCAGTTTTGAGATCTGATCCCAAAGCTTCCTGTGAGACTTTTGTTCTGCTGCAAATCTATGATGGAGGAGGAACTTGGCAAAAAAGATTGTTCAGCTCTTATGTGACAATTGTGAGGTGAATAGTGTGTGTGAACTGTGGGCCAGAAGACTTCTGGTGTTACATCCAGGATGTTTCACGTGGCAAGTGGTAAGTTAAGACAGATCAGGGAATCTCGCAGGGAATGCCTTCCTCATAGGCAAGAAATGACCTGGGGCGAGGAAGAGTAAGCAGAGGGCAAAGAAGGTTCCGCAGGCAAGCACTGGTATCTCGATTTCTCCAAAAATTGATTGAGTTTTAGGAGAAAATTGTGGGATGAAAGCATTGTGTTACTTTGTGTAGACCAGCCTGTCCTCAAGTTACATGATGCCATTGGGCTACCCAAGGAATTGGTGGGCACAGAGATTCTTGGAGCTTATAATAGAATGTAGTTTCATGATTACAGAGATACGTTATACCTCCATACAACAGGGAATGTAGCCACTGGGTTCAAAGCAATGGTGGGCATAGAGATTCTTGGAGCTTACAATAGAATGTAGTTTCATGATTACAGAGATATTTTATACCTCCATACAACAGGAAATGTAGCCACTGGGTTCAAAGCAGGAGTCTGTATGATTTATGGATATGAGTCTCTTAGCATGGAAGCAGTGGGAGACATGCTTCTGGCAGCTAGAGGACAACAATTCATGCTTGCATTATATGGTGATACAACAAACAATTAACGACTGCGTGACAAAGTGGAGGAGCCTTGTCTCTTGTATTAGATACTTGGGCTTTGTTCCCAGCCCCACCTATGTGACCCCCACCATGGCTTAAACCCCAGTTGTGACTGTTGGTGAAATCTGTGAATGGTGTGGAAAGTTTACCAGCTAACAGTAGGAGAGCTGCAGCTGGCAGAGAGACTGTCTGTAGTGCAGTGGGCAACGCAATATATATGTCTTTTAAACCACAGTGTATTGTTTGGGTTATTTTTTATTTTCTCTTCTATGAAATTTCCATGTGCTCTTGCTCCTGCTGTCCCCAACAAGGTAAAGGTGGTCCACATTCTTCTGACTCAGGGTTGGAATGTGCCTTGATCCGCTGAGCAGAAAAAATGACTGAAAGCAAGCTCGTGTGCATGTTTGTGTTATACCTATAGTTACCCACTTCTGTGAGAATCCTAAACTTGTTCATTTAATCATTTCTTATACTATTCACGCCAGTAGTCTGACCCGCTGAAAGAGAGGAATTCCTGATACCTGTTGCTCTTATGTGACAATTGTGAGGTGAATAGTGTGTGTGAACTGTGGGCCAGAAGACTTCTGGTGTTACATCCAGGATGTTTCACGTGGCAAGTGGTAAGTTAAGACAGATCAGGGAATCTCGCAGGGAATGCCTTCCTCATAGGCAAGAAATGACCTGGGGCGAGGAAGAGTAAGCAGAGGGCAAAGAAGGTTCCGCAGGCAAGCACTGGTATCTCGATTTCTCCAAAAATTGAAGTTTTTCTCTTTTTTTTTTTTTTTTTTTTTTCCCCCCTTCTGCCTCTGTCTCTTGCAGCAGGTCTGAGGAGGGGGTGCGCTGCTTCAGTGATGTTATAGACTCTTCCACCCAAGGCTTTCCATGTGCTCTTGCTCCTGCTGTCCCCAACAAGGTAAAGGTGGTCCACATTCTTCTGACTCAGGGTTGGAATGTGCCTTGATCCGCTGAGCAGAAAAAATGACTGAAAGCAAGCTCGTGTGCATGTTTGTGTTATACCTATAGTTACCCACTTCTGTGAGAATCCTAAACTTGTTCATTTAATCATTTCTTATACTATTCACGCCAGTAGTCTGACCCGCTGAAAGAGAGGAATTCCTGATACCTGTTCCATCAGGTTCCAGGTCAAGCTTTTGCAACATAAGCTGAAGACAATTTGGCCACTTGTATTGTCCATGCTATCAGATAAGGAATCATAGAATGGTTTGGGTTGGAAGGGACCTTAAAGATCATCAAGTTCCAACCCCTCAGCCATGGGCAGGGGCACCTCCCACCAGACCAGGTTGCTCAAAGCCCCATCTAACCTGGCCTTGAACACTCCCAGGGAAGGGGCATCCACAACTTCTCTGGGCAACCTGTTCCAGTGTCTCACCACACCCCAACAATAAACACTTTCTTCCTGATATCTAGTCTAAATCTCCCCTCTTTCAGTTTAAAACCGTTGCCCCTTGTCCTATCACTATACTCCCTGGTAAAGAGTGACCCCTCCATCTCTCCTGTAGGCTTCTTAGGTACTGGAAGGCCGACTTCTTACTCAGGGTTGGAATGTGCCTTGATCCGCTGAGCAGAAAAAATGACTGAAAGCAAGCTCGTGTGCATATGTGTGTTATACCTATAGTTACCCACTTCTGGGTAGTTACTCACTTCTGTGAGAACTTGTTAATTTAAGAATTTCTTATACTATTCAAGCCAGTAGTCTGACCTGCTGAAAGAGAGGAATTCCTGATACCTGTCCCATCAGGTTCCAGGTCAAGCTTTTGCAACACAAGCTGAAGACAATTTGGCCACTTGTATTGTCCATGCTATCAGTTAAGGAACCATAGAATGGTTTGGGTTGGAAGGGACCTTAAAGATCATCGGCCATGGGCAGGGGCACCTCCCACTAGACCAGGTTGCTCAAAGCCCCATCTAACCTGGCCTTGAACACTTCCAGGGAAGGGGCATCCACAGCTTCTCTGGGCAACCTGTTCCAGTGTCTCACCACCCTGACAATAAACACTTTCTTCCTGATATCTAGTCTAAATCTCCCCTCTTTCAGTTTAAAACCATTACCCCTCATCCTATCACTATACTCCCTGGTAAGGAGTGACCCCTCCATCTCTCCTGTAGGCCTCTTAGGTACTGGAAGGCCACTATAAGGTCCCCTTGGAGCCTTCTCTTTTCCAGGCTGAACAACCCCAACCCCCTCCGGGTACCTTCACAGGGGAGGTGTTCCAGCCTCCCCTATGAAGGCCAGTTCCCAGCCAGTTTCTCTTTTCCAGACTGAACAACCCCAACCCCCTCAGGCTACCTTCATAGGGGAGGTGTATTACCCCTCATCCTATCACTATACTCCCTGGTAAGGAGTGACCCCTCCATCTCTCCTGTAGGCCTCTTAGGTACTGGAAGGCCACTATAAGGTCCCCTTGGAGCCTTCTCTTTTCCAGGCTGAACAACCCCAACCCCCTCCGGGTACCTTCACAGGGGAGGTGTTCCAGCCTCCCCTATGAAGGCCAGTTCCCAGCCAGTTCTGATCATCTTTGTGGCCCTCCTTTGGACTCCCTTCAGCAGGTCCATGTCCTTTTTATGTTGAGGGCCCCAGAAGGAAGAACAATTCCATCTTGTCTTCAGTGAGCAAGTAGTTTCTGTGCCAAAACATGGAAGGAAGTGTTGTGTCCTTCAATATCTGTGTACCACAAAAGATAACGTTAGCTTCTGCAAATGTTAAATTCTTTTGTCTTTTCCTTTTCACAGACTGTGGACTTGTTTGAGATGATTGAAAAAATGCAGGTAAGGAGAAGTTTTTCTGAGAAACTTTGGGATCTCTTGATTTTTCAGCTGCTATTTGTCTTGTCACTCCGCTCCCAATACTCTTTAATTTGGGTTTGCGGAATATTTAGCTCCTCTAGGCCCAAGGTCTTGTACCTACTTTTAAATGGAGTTTCAAAAGCATTTTCCTGTGTTCATTTTTCCAACCAGCATGATGGAAGGAATAGACACAAATTATTATCGTTCTGTCTGTTCTTTGCACGAGTGTGATTCTGAGAGGAAATCAAAGTTGCATTATGGTATTTGCATTTAGCAAAGTCAAACAGTTTATTAAATAGCTACTGTAGGCCCTGTCTTTAAGTTGCACAAGAAAGAATGACTCTAGCTTAATTCTCTTATGGAAATGCATGCATTTAGTTGCATAGATTAGATTATAAACTTAAAATAGAGTAAAAGGGAAAAAAACCAACCCTGCCCTATGAAATAAAGGGATAGTAATATATGCTCTCTCTATATAACATCAAAATCTTCAAAACCAAAGTTTTTAGATGCTCTGTTCTCAGAGGATCCTTACAGCCTACCGATATTTTCTCTGACTGGTCCACCTTCTTTAAAATCCTGTGGTTAACTTTGATTTAACATAACACGTAACATGGCACGTAATGCCTGCCTTTAACTTTTAGGAAACAATTAACATCTTTTCTGGAACTTGGGTGATTGAATTATGTATATGAGGGAAAGGCAAGACTTTGCTGGGACTATAAAGGCGAGGAGGTAGAAGGTAGCAGCAAAATGCTGATTAAGGCGTTATGAGGCTGAAGTACTGTTTGGCAGACCTTTAGGGAGAAATGAGGTGAAGAAGGACTGAAGGTATATATTCTATATAGTCATGTAGACAGACACAGGCCTTGAAACCACTGTATGGACACCCAAGTTATATTTGGAATATATGCTCAGGGCTTTAGAGTAACAGGCTCTAAGTGTGCCTGGCTCATTTAACTCCGTGCTAGAAAGTAAGCTTGAGTGTGCAGAGCTTCTTGTTCAGTTCCAGCACATGTTGAAAGGTACCACAATCCTTTCCAGGCCTTTTGAAAGCTGGAACCTTTCTGAAATAAGGAAGAATCACTAGCAGGTGTCCCTTGCTGGAAGACTGTGTTGTTGAAGATTCTCGGTGTTTCTCAGCTCCCGGTTTACCATCTAAAAACTGTCTCTCACTGGATTTTGACCTCTTTAGTTAAAGATCTAACAGAGGGAGTTGATGAGAATTTTCAAAATGCAGACCACCTAATTTAGCCTCTATATTGGTTTCTTAGCTGCCGTTGTTAAGACTGATAGTGGCATGATATTTTTCTTTAACTTAGCTTGTTTTGTCACCTGAATTGCACTAGTAGAATTAATAACTGATATTTAAGTATGACAGCAATTTTTTGAAAGAAGGAAAGAGCAATGTTTTCAGAAAGACCCCCCCCAATATTTCTTTATATTGTTTGTTTTGATCTCTCTTTCTAGTTTTACTAATTCTTTATTTATTCTTTTGTTTGTTTACATTTGCTTTCCCTTTCTTTCCATTTGACTCTGTCTACCTTTTGATATAGTGAATTACTCTTGAAAATTAAATTTGGGATTTTCATTAGCAATCAAGTGATAAAAGGCAATATAGGAGACTTGTACATTTCTCCTGTAAAATAACAACAACAAAGCCACAGGATAGAATTAGTTAGAAGTTTTCCTTTTTTTTTTTTTTTTTTTAATCTTGATAATCATTACTTGAAGTAAATGGGCTGGGCTACTGGCCACATTGTTCTATGCGTACAGATGTAATGAAGTCACAGTAAATACTTTGTTAAGGGCACTTAGGAGTACATTGCATACGTGCAAAACCAACCCCTCTTCACTTACATGCTTTTGTCTTTTATGGTGTGATGTTTACTACCTCTATTCTGCATTTGTATTGGTTCAACATAGCCTTCAGTCTTATTTTCTTACGACTACCTTCATGTTTTTTTTCCTGTGTTCCCTTTTAGATCCAAGTTTTGAACTAGTCCCCTCAAGGCACTGCTCTTTTCCGGTATAAAACATGTGTTATCATAGCAATGCCATGCCATTTTGGACCCAACTGTGGGTCTGGAAGGCTTTTCCCTCTGTTGTCTGTTCTTTCATCCTGCTCAGGCCAGGTGTTTCCCCTGTACAAGACCCTGGGAATACTGAATTCCCAGACCAATGCTGTCTCCAAGAAGTGACTCAGGAAGACAGGGAGGGAAAGTCTTTCCTTAAAGGCAGTGCTGCAAGCCAAACTGGACCCGAGTAGACAGGGGTCTCAACAGATGACTGAGACTGCTGTAGTTTATGCCTCTCGCTTTTGCGGAATGATGGTGATCATCAACCAGTTGTTCTGCCCATGCTTTGACACTTCAACAACTTACTTTGTAAGTTCCCTGCAGTCCTGCTTCCCCTCTAAAATAGAGCTTTGGACTATGTGGCCCAGGGCAGCATTAGATCTTTGCCAGCATCTTAAGCTTCAATCTAGAGGAGAGGATGGTAGAGTTAGGCCTATGTCTTCTTCTCCCAGGCTGCTAGGAGCTCCTCTAACCATGCAGAGTCATGGAATGTGCTGGCACATTCCTCTGCTCTCTGTAGAGGCCCCAAACAAACAGCAGCTCCTTTACAGCAGCCCAGGAAGTTTTCCCTCAGGCTTCTCTGAGATACTAGTCTTCTACCAGGACATCCTTTGAAACTGGAAACTTTTTGCAGTTATCAGATCTGCCAAAAATGCAGAGGGAGAGGGGAGAGAGATCTTACAAAACTGCAGTTTCCCAACCTCCATTTCCATGTGCGGAAATCCCCTTGTGCGTAGCAAGTTTGTCCTGGTACTTTCCATAGTTTGTTCCAGGAGGCTAGGGCTGCTCTGTACCTGCATGTCTGCTCTATCTCAATCCTATTTTGATAGAGCATAGGACTTTCTTGCCCCAGAGAACTGCTCCTGAGACTCGTGTTTCAGGACCTAGCCTTCTTGATGAACCTCAGCACACTGGATTGACAAGTGAAACTCCAGATCACATCAACAAAACATGCATTGCACTTATATTTCATGCACTCCACTTTCTCAGCTTTATGACTTCCCCAAATGCAAAATGGTTATTACTACCTCTGGAAAAGGTAAAGGTCACCTGTCATCCTCTGTTCCATCTTAATTTCACAACCTACCACATCCTGGTAATTTATTGTTCATTTTGTCAGTGCTGACATTGCAATTTGAAACAGATCTTCTTCTATGAAAAATAGTTCTAAGCTGGTATTTCCTCAGCCTCTTCTGTTGAAAATACAAATAAAATATGTAAAAAAAATTTTGGGGGGAGTGGGTAACTCTCTATAGGCTCAGCTTTTATGGTCTGATCCTGTGTAACCTCATAGACATTTTGGCAAGCTTCTTTCTCCTAATATAGTTAAGGAAAGTAATTTTTTTTTGCTGCTGTTGTGTTATCTGCAGATTGTTCCCCACTCATTGTGTTTCTATATTTAGCCAACTAAGATTTGATGTTATTGCTGTTTTTTTATTTGAACTCAACTTTAGGCTTATGAAAAATACCTTCATGCATCTACTACTAGTCTCCCTTACCCTGGAGTCTAGCCATACTGCCATACTGGTTTACTTCTGGTGTTTTTAAGAATTTCTTGAAGGTCTTATGCATTTGTTGTGAGCTCAACGTCTGTATCCTCATAATTTCATGAAGGTTCAGCCTTTTTTATGTCTCATTTTTAAATTCTTTTAATAAGCTTTCTAAATTTTCTATAGCCTTGTTTTTATGTGTAATGGATGTCTTCTTTTTTTTCTCTTTTTTTTTTTCTCTTCTTCTTTTGTTGCTCCTGCAAGAAGCATCCTGATCATTATTAATCCTTGATCTAATGCTGCTCTTGCCCAGTGTTAATGTTGTTGCTACACTAGCAGTTTTTTTACCCCATATGGCTGGATCGCTGGCCTCTAACTTTCGCTCTTGAGTCTCTTGCATCTCCACCGTAGACCCCCACTCAGATGTGTGTATTTCTACCAGCTATTAGTTTACAAGCTAGTTCCACTGCAGAATAATTGCATAGACACAGCTGTTATAAATCAGATCCTGCTTATTTTCAGAACAAAGTCGAGAGCTGCTTATCATGTCTGGAATCCCTGATTAGCCACTCCATTAAGCAGTCACTGATGGTGTATAAAAATGTAGTCTCAGCATCATGAAAATTACAAGATTTAGTTGGCAGTAGTTGAATACTCCTGTATTGTTTGTAAGAGAATGCTACAACTTAAATCCTGGTCTTCCAGCTTCCTATCTGACAATGCAAATTTTGTCTCTTACTCTTCTGTCTGTATTGATGCCCACTTGGACTATGACCAACATTTTATGGTCATAGCCTGTTGACCCCAATATCTTCTTGGCTTCTTTTGTTCTGGGCCTTTGTTCAGTTAATGCTGGGGCTGTCCTCACTAAAATTTTCCTATTCCTGTGTGCTTCTGCCACAGAAGTATGCTGGAGGTGAACTAGTCTTGCCATGGTGAGAAGGCAGAGGATGGAACAGCCTTAAGAAAGGGAATCAAGTCTGGATGCCAGCTGCTGATTCAGGAAGAAATTAGGCATCCAGTAGTCTTTTGCCCTGCCATTCCCACTCACCTTGTGGTAACAGTGCCTAGGAAAGCAGGCGTGCAGGGCTTTGCCTTGTGGCTCCTTGGTGCCTGCAGGAGTTTGTGCTAGTTAAATGTATGTACGGATGGAGAGCAGCTCTGATTTTTCTCTCCTACCTCCAGGAGACAGATTTATTCCCTTATGTAGATGGAAGCAAGGCACATAAGCTGCTTAAAAGACTTCCTGCCTAGCCCTAATCCTAAAAAGTGTTTGTTGCTTCTCTTAACCCTGCTCTGAGGTTCTCAGTGCTTTGCCTGACAGTATCTTCAAGGGAGAGGGAAGAGTAGAACAGGAGTGAATGGTCTGAAATACTGTTGTTTTGCTTTCTGTCTTTACCTCTCCCCTTTTTTTTTATTGCTTGGGATAGGAAATAAAGTAGCTAGAAGAGATCGGAGAATTAAATAAGACAATCAGTTTGCAAGGTTGCTTTTGATTTCTGCCCGCTTTCTGGTTTTTAAATGATGTAAGGTGTGTGTGTGTGGTGTTTCAGTTTTAATGCCAAACTAGGGGACTGGCCAAGTTCTAGCTTTACTCCTTCTGTTTATTCCAAACTTGCATAAAATAGAAGATTGCAGAGAGAGCCAAAATATGAATTTTGGGGTTATGGAGAAGGACACAGAGGGTAAGTGAAACAGACACACTAAAACAAACAGGATTCACCATCTGTGACTTTCTGTTTCCAGGGGAGTCGTCTGGACGAACAAAGATGTTCCCTTCCAGCTCCTCTCAAGGTCAGGTCAAGTCATTGTTGCCTCCTAAATTGCTGAGAATGGCAGATAATAGCTGACATGACTTGCAGTGTATTTTAATCTTAGAGTGAACAAGGAGCCTACAAACAGCACAAGAACACAATTATTTGTCTATTTATTAAGTTACTGCATGAAAGAGTGAAACGATGTAGCTGAAACAGAGTCAGTAATTCCCTTTTTCAAATTTAGGTGGTTCCAATAAGCATTTAATATTAACAATCTTAGTTTTGACTAAAGAATTTCTTAAACTTTATTCAATGTAAGAGCTTTAATAATATTTATGAAATCATATTGGATTTATTTCAGTAGTCTGCTTGAGAACTCAGAGATGCTACTAGAAAGCTGGTCTGTTTCCCTCAATATTGGGCCAATAAGAACAGGTTCCCATCTTTAGATTCTCAACTCTTCCTCTCTGTTTTTTCAGTGTTAGCTCAGGTGTAGTAACCTTAAAATCAAGCTTGACTTTGAATTAAATCTTGGAATGGCCTAAAAAAAAAACCCCACAAAAAAACCTCAGCAAAATCCAGACCACATAGAGAATTGACATAGCTCAATTCTGACAGATAGTCAGTGCTCTTTGTGGTGATGGAAGGGGCATCCAACTGGCATAAAATGGCTCAGATACTCCTCCTGTTCTTGCAGTCATGCCTCAGCACTGCTCAGTTGTGTACCACACGTCTAGCTATGGAAATGACACAACCTTGATTTCACTGTAAATTCAGTACTCTTTCTACCATCCCTACTGTCATCTCTGTCTGCAACTGCCTAACATTGTGCAGAAGGAAAGGAGGGAGACTTCCACTCCTAACCTTGTCCAATTTGCCTATGGATTGTCTACCTCATCGTTTTGCATGCCTGTATTCTGTGTAGTTTCAAGGAGGAAGGTGGGTGAAATCTGAATCCTAAATTTATTGTTCTCAAAGTTCTATATGATAATACCAAGGCATGGGAAGTGGAGTCTCACCTTAAATTCTAAAGTAAAGCTCAAAAGATGGATGAGGGCAGAGTGGAAGCTGAGGGCACAGATTGTGTGACCATGAGAGTGTAACACTTTAAACAATACCAAGCGTTTTTGCTAATGGTCTCTTCTGGTTTCAGACAGAAGAGGAGTATATTCCTTACCCCAGCATCCATGAGGTGAGTTAGTACTGGTCTCCTCTGTTTCTTCTTGGACTTTATTGGCCTTTCAACTTAATTTGCCTTTCAGCTTATTGGCTTTTCAGCTTTCATGTTCCTGTGTCGTTCTGAATAGGTGTTACAGAAAGGATGGCCATATCCTCTCATTATCTTACCCCAGTTTGGGGGCTACTGGATTGAAGGGACCAGCCACAACCTCTCCAGCTTGAGTCCAACTCTGTCTGATGTGCCCTTTCCCTGGAGTGGTAAAGTGAAACTGGAGAGTGACCCTACAGCCAAGCTGTACCGCAAACATTTTCTGGGGAAGGTAAGGGTGATCTTCAGAGACTTCTCAGCCCACCCAGCCTTAAGGCTGAAACGCATCTCGGGCTTTTCCTTATGGATTTAGAAATAACTGCACAGCCATTCCAATTCCTCATGATGCCTTGAATTAATGTAAATAAGGTATATACTACTGTATGACTAATAGTGTGTTAGGTTGATCCTGTCCTGTTGTGATAAGTGCATCAGTCTGTCCACTAACAGAAGAGAAATGTTTGCACAGGAAAAGCTTATATTTGGTTAAGAAGTTCTTTTGAGGCTCCTGGACAGATACCAACCTTGGGATGACAAGGGGAAGAAAGTGTAATAGTACGGGACATGGAGATGGTATTATTTTTAGAGGGGACTTCACACTGACAGTGCAAACCTCTCAGTAGTAGGAAAAATGGTCCATTTTCCTCATTGTCAGTAAGTAGCAAGTATGGTCACCACAGAATGTGTATGAAGAAACTGGAAAATGTGTTTTATAGTTGTTTGATTTAAGTAAGTTTGGTGCTAAGTGCTGCCTGACTTTAAAAATTTCAGTCTGACAGAAAAGGAGATGGAGCTTGGCCTCATTAAGTGAATGTTGGCTGGCCATTAAGGTCCGTCTGGGTTGGTTTGTTCAGGGAATTGATTGGTTTCCAGGCTGGATCTCAGGATGATATTATCCATCAAGAAAAGTGAGAACAAACCCATGATCTTTTCTGAGATTCAGCTCATGGCATAAGGAGATAAGAAAGCTTGACAGGTATACTCATGCTGCATCTTATTCAGTGGTTTCCCTCTGCAACTGCTTAATAAGTTCAAAACCAGGAAGAGGTGGAGCTTTGAGCAGTGACGGGTACCTGTTCTGCAGTAGGTGGACTTGTCTGAATGATCTTGTGTAGTATGCAACACTAGAAATGGATATTAGTATAATTGACATGTAAAGTACCCTTCCTGGAGGCCTCCTCTCTAGACTGACAGATCTGTTAATGGACATTTAGCCTGTGACATTCTGCAAGCCTTCAGTGTGCCACCAACTGTAATTATTTTTCTGTCATGGTAAATTTAGGGTTGTGCCTGAAGGTTTCCTGAGCCAGGTAGGGCAGGAGTCAAATTGCGATGTGATTTTTTTTTTTTTTTTTTTTCAGTCTGATTGTAGCAGTCACTGCTGACCTGACATCACAGAATTGCAGAATGTTTGAGGTTGAAAGGGACCTCTGGAGCTCGTCTTGTCCATACCCCTGCTCAAGCAGAGCCATATCATCACTGTTCCTTCCAGTGTTAGATCCAGGAATTCCCATACCATTGGACTCTGTAGATTTGCAAAGTGCCCTAAGTGTACTGCAAAACTGACATCACAGAATTGCAGAATGTTTGAGGTTGAAAGGGACCTCTGGAGCTCGTCTTGTCCATACCCCTGCTCAAGCAGAGCCATATCATCACTGTTCCTTCCAGTGTTAGATCCAGGAATTCCCATACCATTTGGTGCAAAGTGTACTACAGAAAAACTCCTCTCACCTTATTCTTTCTTTTCTACAGTGTCCAGTGTTTTATTCTTCATCTTAATTGCCGTGAATGTTTGTCTATATTCAATTAAACATGCAAGTTTTTGAGCAAGTCAGTGGTGGAAAAGAACAAGGTGAAGAGGACTCTTGTCGCAGAAAACTCTACCCATGTGTAGAAAACTTTACCCTTAGCTTAAAGGCTTGGGTGAGGAGAGAGCTCAGAGCTTTTCCACAAGGAGAATACTACTTCAGTTCAAAGTTAAGAGAGACCAGTGATTTTGGTGCTATGTGGATTGGGTCCTTTCCTTGCTGATAACATGGGAAGGTTATTTCAGTAAGGTAAAGAAAGGTCTCTTGCATGCTTTGAATAACTGCGAACAGTGCTTAGAAGAGTCCATAAGCATCGTGTGATGGGAGAGGCATAGCCAGTGGTTTAGGGAATATCCTTTAAGCAAAATAGGAGATTAGAGTATATGTGATATTAAAAACTTGATGTGCCTGTCTGTGTTGTGGGTGTGCATGTAGTAGGTCACTCAGACTCAGACAATTCTTTTGACACTGTTTGTGGGACTTCATCACAGATCCTATAAAACAACCACAAAACTGTGCTAGGACCTACAAGCCATAACTCATCTCCTTTTCTTTGTTTCATGGTCCATATTTTATATGACGATTATACAGTGAGATTAATTTTGCCTGTAGGAAGAAGGCTGTAAAACCTTACGTCTTATACTCTGGGAATTACTAAATATCTACGTAGCTTTTCAAGACTATAATAAACAATAGTAGCCTGAGGCCAGGAAGGATTTAATAAAAGTATACATTGGAAATGCCAGTCAAAGAATCTTTGGGTGCAGTTTCACAAGTGCTTGAAGCTGGCAGTGCTAATGAGAGAAGCTTTCTTGCTGTCCATTCATATGTGGTCGTGTGTTTCTCCATTATGCTGCCCTTTCCTTGTGCTGGTTATTGCAGTGCTGTGAACTGTTGGGGAAAGGACTCGGTGGAGTCCTCTCACCAGAAAGAACTATTTCTTAAGTTATAAGTGTGAAATTCTGGCTTAACCCAGGACAGAGGTGGAAACCACTCGAAGCAGCCAAAGGACATTTTTATTATAATTGCAATGATCTCTTCTGTTATTTTAAAGTCTCTCTAATTTCGTTTCATTACAAGTCTGTCATTTTGGTAAATGTGTTCTCTCACTTGCTCAGACTGCACATCTTCTCATATTCAGGATCGTTTTCCTCTGGTATGCAAATCCATGTGTTATGGAGCTTGTAGCTGTTTTCATGTCATGACAAGCTGACATCAGACCAAGATATTTCTTTTTTTAGTTTTCTCCAAGCAGAGATACAGGGAGGGCCTGCAAGGAGATAACCTTATCAGGTATTATTTCAGTACTAGACCAGCCTTAGTGGGTCTGTGTTCTGCAGATGCCAACAATGGCAGTAGCTTCTAGGTCCTTATCATCTAACTGGAAAACAAAACCTTATGCCTTTACAAAAAGAAGGCTTGATGGAATAATAATGCTGCCTACTCAGTACTGTGAGTTTATTAGTTATCTATCACTGTTGATAGGCTTGGATATTCAGATATCGTTATCTTCCTGTAGGTCATCGTATACTCATTTGGCCACCAAAGCTGCTCTTGATCCTTCTTCAGGATGAAATCATTCCAGTATTTTACCACGTAACCAAAGGCTGCCAAGTTTTTTGAATTTTTTTTATTATTATTATTTTCCGTTGTCTTGAAGGAATAGAATGGGCTAATGAACCCATTTTGAAACCTGTAGAGATAATTTTGTGTTCTCTGGCTTCCTATACTCCTATTTCTAAAAGAGCTGATGAAGCATACCAGTTCCCATACACAGATCCATTTGAAATCCAGAACTTCCTTTCAGGCTGCCTTAAATGCTACAGAAACTACTTACTTGATGGAGCAAATTTGTACCTATATACAGGTCATCTCGGCTCTAGCGTATCTTGCCACTGCTGAGTTGCCATCTTCAGTATTAACCATAAAGCCTTTTCATGGTTCATCTCCAACTTCAGGACAGCTAACGAAAAATGCTGTTTTATGTTGAAGGACCCTTAGTCTGCCTTCTGTTCCTTATGTGTTTTTACAGAGAAAGAAAATCACAGAGGGGAAAATAACAACAAAAAAAACCGTCACGAGGAAAGTTTTGTTCATACATGTGATTACTTGACTCTTACTTTAAAACCCAAGCTTACAGTTGGGATCAAGCTAGGCAGCCAGAGTAGCTTTGACAAAAATTCAATTATTCTAAGACCTCCACTAATTCTGGTGGCTGTTGCCCTGTGAAGATTGCACCCTTTGTGCAGCTCTGCCAGTTACGCCGGCTGCAGAGTTGATAGCCCGGTGTCCAAAACAATTGAGATCCCAATGTATCAGACCTGCTGGGGTCTGGGTTAGAAGTCCCATCAAAAGGCATCCTGTTTTCTGGTCTTTGCAGCTCAGTGTTACTTTTGGCTGCAGCTAACCTCAGGCTTTGGCTCCTATTCCTTTGTTCTGCCATCTAGTCCTGGCTTTTGTTGGCATTACACCATCTTTTTCCTGAACAGCCTGCCTTGGGCATCCACCCTAGCATATGATTTCTTTGATTCTAGACTTAACTGACCATTGAGAGTGCTCTTGTTTTGCTCCTTGAATTGATCTGTTCCTCAGCTGCTCTGTCTCTCTGCCCTTGGTCACAATGACTGCTGCACCTGATTCTTGTTCACATCCCAAAAATCTGCTAGTATTCTGAAAGCCATGGTCAGGAAAAATAAACTGTCCTCTCAGCCTTTGTGGCTTCCCACCTACAGATAAGTTCAGTCACTACCACTGAGTTGTGGGACAGCTCACACCGGACTTCTGTGATTTGAACATTGCAGCTAGAGGCCATGTGATTCTGTTTGCCTGTTTGCTGCTTTTTACTTTTGCCTTATCTTTTCCAGGAGACACTCCTTTGGTCTGCTTCAGCAGGAGGTAGACTATGGTAGCACCAGAATGCAGTAGCAGGGCAGTTACAGGTGCTGGGTTTTTTTCTGTCTCAAAGAGGAAGTGAGGACAATGATATCTCTAGTACTGAAATAAGTTCAGTAGCTTTATCTTCACATACAGGTTCAAGGTAGTGACTGTCGCCTTAGTCATGGGTTTTTTTTTTTTTTTTCCAGAGAAGATCGGTTTATGTCTGTTGACTTCAAGATGCCTACGTCCACATAGATACCAGAGCAATTCACTAGATGTATCTTTATTTCACAGTGAGTCAGAACTATGACTAACACAAAAAATTGTTAAGGTTTTTTTCCACAGCAAAAGGCAATCTCACCAGTGTGTTGAGAGAGGTTGCAATCCACCAGGGACAGAACAATCCTTCTGTATTTTCTAGGCAAAAGGCTGAGGAAAGAACTCTCAGACTAGTGACTCTGATCAAATTACACTCTTTGCTCCCATTGAGTCCTTATTATTAATTAATTGTGTCCAGAGTATTCCTTTCACAGAACACATTCTAGATCGTGCACGTTCTGACTGTACAACTGGACACTTAAATTACTGTCCCAGTGTGTAACATGGATGCACAAGGATGCATTTATACAGTCCTTCCTATGATGCTCCTTCTGAGTCTTGCAATCTTGGTTCTGACTTCTCGCTCCCTGTCTGTCTTCTCAGGTTGCAAGTGCCTCTGTCTTTGATTGAGGTCACTGCTGTTCTGCTGGTAGAGCAGCCCATTCATTATTTGGTGTTTTATCTCTCTCCTGCATTTAATTTGACCACAACAAACATTTTGCATATAGGCTGAGGAGATAATTTCTACAACCAAAGAGCATAAAACCACCGGTGTACATCAGAACCAGAATCTCTACACACTAAAATGTATGCAGAGCACTGATTATATCTCTCAAGTAAGTTGGCAACACACTATCATTAGAAAATATATCAACAAGCGAGATAGCAGTTGGTACCTCTTTTCTGTGAAACAGTTGGCAAATGGAATTTGGGAATCAAGTTCCCCATTAAAGTATGTCCATTTTTATCTCCTGGGTGCGTCTGACTTCTCAGTGAGTGGACAAAGCTTCTTTTTCCTGCAGAACCATAAGTGGGCAATGCAGCTGGATATCTTGAGGTACATCATCTCAGAGTTGGAAAATCCCAAGATTTGTCTACAAAAGATATCAAAAGAAAGCCTTGATTTTTTTTTTTTTCCTGTTGCCTTAACTGTTCTGCACTGAAGATCTCTGGATACGTTCCTGATTCTACCATCAGCAGATTGCTGTATGACTTTCTCCTGATTTTCTTGGTCCCAAGGCATAAGGAGGCACTGATAATTCTGCCCACTATAGGGTAGCTGAGATGACTTTTTATTTTGTTTTATTTATTATTAGTTTGCTTTGCAGAGAAGGAGTCTTACCCCAGTTGCCATCATTGATATCTCAGAAGAACCATAGCAATCTCACTATATTCTCCTGGGATGGAGGCTAAATACTGGAATATACTACTGCACCTTTGAACAGAAGGTCTCATTAGCAGCAAGAGATTAAGATATTAATCTAATCAAATCTAATCCAAAGAGAATCAGATCCCCTGTATGACATTCTCATTGGTCTCTCTGTCCTGCTTATACCTCAGACCCAATCATTTTGAACTGTTTGCTGAAAGCATGAGTTTAGTCTCAGCTCTCTGTTTGGTCAGAGTTGATGTAGCAGCCAGCTCTCAAAACTGACCATGAAGTGGTTTTCCATGAGGAAGATGGGAGTGATCTAAGCATTTTGGGGTGATTTCATCTATACAGTATTCTCATTGTGCTAGAGGTTTCTGTTCACGTCCTTTGTCAAAAGGTTGTAACCTTTTGAGGTTAGAAGTTATATATATTAATATATATTGATATACCCAGGATATTGGAACATGGCTGTGTACCCAGGAGAAATGCATGGCCACAGCCACTTCTATCTAGAGCCTCTGAAAATGTTGGCATTATGGTTTATTGTTTGACTGAAGGATTCTCTCTGCTTGAGGGACACTCTACTAAAGCTCAAGCAGTGTTAATGGCACTGCTGAGAACAGTCTTCATCTGTAAAATAGTTACCCAAAGTCCTGACTGCATCCTCCCTGAGGTGTGAGTGCTCTTAGAGGTATTTGGTATAATGATCCTGCCATTACTGTTTGTATAGAATCCATGTCCACATCCAGTTGAATGTGCTGGAGACCTCTACTTAGTCACGCAAGGTCTGAATGCATAGAAGGAAAGTCCATGAAAGATACAAATTTATTTACAAGAAGCTTGATTTCTCCAAAATGTATTGTTGAATGTTCTCATCCTAGTCCTTCTCAGGAGCCCTTGTGCTGATGGACAGCTGAGAAGGAACTGAACTGGCAGTGGATGAACTTTAACATGCTCATGCATTGATCACCAAGGGAGACAGCATATGCATGTATTTAAGCATGTCATTGCTAGTTAAAGAAAAAATTAGCTAATGTTGAGTGTCAGGTTATATGCCAAAAATCTGGTAAACTTCTATGGGAAGTGTGTTGAGAATAATGCATTTTGGCTTCCTGTTTTCAGGAGCACCAGAACTTCTACTCCAGTGACATGTCCTTGGGCTACCTGGTACTTTCTGTGAAGTATGAACAGATCGAGAAACAGGAAAATCTACGCCTGTTGCTGAGGTGCCTGTTTTTGAAGCGTATGTTACTGTGTGGTGTCTCTTGAGCGTCCTCTGCATAGATATGGTTGTGAATCATGTCTTTGTCCTGGAGAGGACTGCAAAGGAACCTTTGAGCCTCCTTTTCTTGCCTTTGCCTCAGTTTCTCTCGGCAGTTTCCTTCAGGAAGCTGAAGTGGTGTTTGCAGGCACATCATTATAAGTTTTTCTGTCTACTTAGAGACATGCGAGTGCTCTCTAGGAAAACATGGATTCCCTGATGTTTTCCCCCTCCCTAGCTCAGGCCTGTCTTTGGACTCAGTATCTCAGTATCTGAGACTAAGGCTTCCTTGAAGGTGAGCTAGAACTTTCCTTAGCTTCCTGGGACAGCCTACCAAGTGCCATAACCTTTAGGGCTTCCCACAGAGAGCCATTATCCTGAGAGAGCTGCTGAATGAACTAGACAAAGAGCAGAGATAGATCTTGCACAGGTGAGAGGTATGTTGCAGAAAAGCTTTTTAGCACACTATGGGCTGGGTGCAATTCCAGTGAGCAATATGCTGCTGGAAGCAACTGATGTACAGTTGCTGCTGACAAGGACTCAGCCAGGACTGAGGGGAAAATACTGATTGCACAGGAGTCAGCTACAAGAGAATCACTAGTGAGTTTCCTCTGTTTTATGCGGAGAACACTTCAGAGTACCAGGTGGAGCAATAATCTGGGGGGAAAAAAGAAAGTGCCTATTTGTGAGCTGTGCCAGGAAATGTTTATCTGAGCCAGAAACCTTCCTACATGGAAGACACTGGTGAAGAACAAAAGGGTAGTAATTCCCCTGTTAAGATATTGTATTATATGCTGCACCTTTTGCTCAATAGCTTGTTTATAATGGTTTGAAGAGGACTCTGACAGCCCAGTATTTCTTCTCCCTAGAAAGACATTTTTTATATAGAGAGAAAGGAAACTTTTCTCCATCAGCTTTCTGGAACAATGCTACACCAGTTTCTACCTTGTATACTTTGCATGGATCTGCTTTCCTAGGCTGTCTCTAACAGACCTTTTAACAGCCTTTCAAACCCTTATTGTATGATCTTATGAATCTGTTATAATAGTGTGTCCATGAATTGTGTTTCAACATTTAGATTTCTGTAAAAGAAAATTGGGGGGGGAGGGAGGAAAGGAGTGAGGCTGGGGAACGGCAAAAAATTTTTTTTGAGCAAGAAAATAATGCAAGCAAGAGTTTAAGCATCCCTGTTTTAATTCCTCTGCTCCACACAACAAGTGATGAGCAATAAGAAGTGTAAATACCTCCCTTTTCCCGTGATTTTATGCATCCGGCTTAAAAGATAATCTGAAGGAATGGCTACTCTTTCTTTCAAGAGCTACTGTTGTTTGTGTTTCCCTTCAGCTTTTGCTCTAATGTGTTTCTTTGTTTCATGTCAGGACTCGAACTGGCACCAAACATGACTTGATCCCCATTTCCTGTCTGAGTGAGTTTCCCAATGCTGTCCAGATGGCCAAGGTAAGATTCCTGTTTGCTTGTTCATTCTTACAGCCTCATTCTTCAAGTTATTTTCACTGCTCGCCTCCCATTTCCCTTTTTTTTTTTTTTACTATTCCCCATAGTGCTCTCATATACTTCCCTTTTACACTTTGATTTAACTTCTCTTCTTTCGCTTCTAATTTTACCTCTGATTTTTTTGCCTGAAGGGACTCCTGTCAGATAATTATAAACTGTGCCTATGCTCTCATGCCCGCAGCAAGCTAGGGCACATGATAATCACATTTCTGTTTCCCTCTCTCTTTCTCTCTCCTTCTCTCACTCGGCAGCTACTGTGTGAGGATGTGAATGTTGAACGCTTCTTTCCTGTCCTCTACCCCAAGGTATAATGTTCTGATATGTCTGTATGTCCCTTTTCCATCAAGGTCTGGCTAAGTACGTCCAACTGATAATTTGTATTTTCATTACCTCAGGCTTCTCAGCTTATTGTTGCATTTGATGAACATGTCATAAGCAATAACTTCAAATTTGGGGTCATCTACCAGAAACCTGGACAGGTAAGGTCCCTCAGATCCCACGATACTTAAGGCAAAACATAAAGAGCCAGTTGTCTTAGCTTAAATGTAATAACAAGGTCTAACAGGTACTATCCTGTGAAAAATACAGATGTTGTAAAGAGAAAGGATAGAAGTTTTCCCTGTGTTGATCAATTTGTACAGGTCCTCAAAGCTGGCTGAACTGTGTCTAGAAATTACTGCCTGTTCTTTGTACTGCTTGTGCTCCTTCTGACTTCTCCTTTCCTTTTGAAGACGACCGAAGAAGAAGTCTTCAGTAACACAGAAGAGAGTCTGGGTTTCCTGGAGTTCCTGGATTTTCTTGGTGACAAGATTCAGCTGCGAGATTTCCGTGGGTGCGTACCCAGCGCCGCTGGAAAGCCAGGTTGAGTTAGGAAACACCACACATTCAGAGGCTGTGACTCTGTTAGGGCCTTGCTTTCTGAGAAGTGCACTGTCCTCTGAATCCCAGTGCAGCTGGAGAAGCCCAGAATGCTTTTGTTAACCATCCTATCTAGGAACCAGCTCTACTAGGAGTTTAGGTCCCTGCTGATATTTCATTTAAAGGTCTCCTGGTAGCTCAATCTGACCCACGGTATCAGTATAGAATAATTTTATTTGACTGCAAATAGAGGCCTATTTCACAATGGTAGGGGTCAGTACTGTTTTAGTCTTTTTCTGTGGGATACCCTGTCCTTTCTGTACTTCAAAAACGTGGATTGTGTTTCTCACAAGAATGCCAAAGAAAGTAGCTCCTTTGAGGACTGAAGGTTTAGCTTCATAGCTTTTAGAAACATCGTGCAGCTTCAGTCAGTGCCTTTGTTTTAGGAAGATTTGGCGCCTTGCTTATTACTGATTTCTTAAAAATCACCTTTGATAATATTGATGTACCAAGCTACCGTTACTGATATCTTCTTTCTTCTCTCCACTTTCTCATCTCTGCCCTGCCTGCCCTGTGGTGTGGTATGGATTTGCTCAGGTTCCGGGGAGGTTTGGATGTCACTAGAGGTCAAACAGGCACTGAGTCCGTCTATACAAATTTCCGGGGCAAGGAGATCATGTTTCACGTGTCTACAAAACTGCCCTTCACAGAGGGAGATTCCCAGCAGGTACTGGAAGGAGAACTAAGGAATTCAACAGTGTGGTAAGAGGGAGGGGTATTTGATGAGGGGCTAGTTAGAGGGGAGAATTGGCAGTTAGGCAATGTTGGGAATTATGGATGGAGTAATGGTAAAAGTAGCGATGAGGGGTTTGGTTGAACAAATGGTTGGAGATACTAGATGCACTGGTTCTACCCTTTTTTCTCCTGCCTTCTCACTATTTGTTTTTTTTTTCCTCTCCAGCTTCAGCGGAAGCGTCACATTGGGAATGACATTGTAGCCATCATCTTCCAGGATGAAAGCACACCTTTTGTCCCTGATATGATTGCTTCCAATTTCCTACATGCTTACGTAGTAGTTCAGCTCACTCCTGGCACCACGGGGGACACTTTCTACAAGGTAAACAGAGCCAGTAGATTCCTCTGCACTGATTTACTGATACTGATCCTTGAAGTGGAAACCTGTTCTTTGGGAGCCTTTGGGAGAGGTACAGGTTCAGCCAGCTGTCATCCTAAGCTTTGCTTGCTCTGTTAGTAAACTTGATCAACGTTTTCAGTGAAAGGCAATAATTGAATCTATTACCAGTTAAACTAGAAATCCAGTAGCTGCCACCAGCTCTCCTTCCCCTTCACCCACTCGGTGATCTCTGACCAGGAGTCACCTTCCTGCTGTGTTGTTCTGTACTTCTGCAGAGGTCTTCTCTGGTGTGATTGCTACTGTTTAGGAATCTATGTTCATGTTTGTTGAGTATTCAGATTTCATAAGGTTATTGATAAGCTGGCCTGGGCTAGGAGGTGAGGCTGAGAATGATTCAAATTCTGTGACACAAGTATTTTACTGAAAGGAGTCCAGGACTGCTTACTGCCTCTACCTAACAAATACAAGGTCAAAGAATAATTTGATCAATTTTTTAAGTATCTACGCATGAAAGTAGGATGTATTTGTATGTTTTTCAAAGTAGCCGATAAGTTTCTGAAGCTTAAGGATTGGGAATTGAAGCAGGACGAATTTTGATAAAAAAGTTTTGTTCACAACAAAGAGCACGAGGAGCAATTGATGCCATTTTGGGGGATGCCTTGCTTACTTCATATAAGTCAGGTGAAACTCATTCAGACAACTGGCAGCCGTGTCTGCATTGCTCATGCTGCAGAGCACAGCCCTGAGGGCTTGCACTGCCTGAGACTGCAGGTCATTTGGTCTCATTAGCTGACTGGCCTAATTTATGGAATCCAAACCAGCTACGTGTGCCTTGGGGAATTCCAGAACTGATGCCTATCTGGCAAGGAAGTGCTGTTAAGTCCCACCAGTTGGGCTAGAATATGAAGAAGCCCTGCTAGAACATCAATTCCCTATTTGCAGCCTTTGGACACAGCTGTTTCTGTCACATGACTCTGAATGGATGACTATACCACTTCATATTCAAATTTCAGTCATGCTGAGAGGGCAGAAAATACATAGCAGCTTGTGTTCTGTGATGGGTTTTCCATTGTAGAAACATTTTAATCAACGTGCTATGTCTCATGTTATGTAAAAATTCTGATTCGGTGATGAAGAGTCCTTATGCCTTGGAGGTCTACAAGAATACCAAGAATATCAAAATTAGGACAGGATCCCTGTCTTCTCTCCCACCAAAGAGGGTGCTGGGGGTGGAACAACCACCTTCCATTGTTTCCTGTGCTATGGACAGGCAGCTCTGTAGTGACACAATAGCCTCATGTTGATCAGGAACATGAGGTTCCAGTTCTCCTCTCACTCCGTTTTGTAGGGCACAGAAATTCATTGGATTTTTTTAATGACAAGAGAAAGAGCTGGGGAAGCTTGCCATTCATCTTGTCTCTTCCTACTGTTGTTTTTGTCTGTGCCTGTCTGCAATGGCATTGTTTTTGTCAGTATAATAGGGTCGGCTGCATCATTTCATGAAAAAAAAAAAAAATAGTTCCAGTCAGGACCCTAGAGCCAAAGCAGAATGCTCTGTAAAGGCTTTTCCAAACTCTTTTTAACTCATTTTGCCTTGAGAGCACTCTAGTACCTAAAAGACTGAGAAGACTTTTTTCTATTCTGTGTTCCATTTACTTAAGCTTTAGTGCCTAGTGGTTAAATTGGAATATTAATTGCATTTATTTCTTTGACTCAATTTTCGCAATCAGAAAATAAAAATGTAAAGTGGGATTTTAACTGGTAGATATCTGTTGGGAGGGAGGAGGAGGCCTTGTAATTAGGGGAGCTGGCCTCCAATGTGAGAAATCTGAATTAAATCGAGGGCCTTTTTCCTTCTTCCTCTCATTAACCTCATGCCTCTCATTGGCTCTGTGACATTTACACTGGAGTGTTGTTTCAAGGCAGTTGCTGTCAGGTTGTTCTGATATTGTTCCCTGTTGCATGAAATGGCAAATATTGTTCCATCTCAAACACGAGGAAAAAAACCCAAACCTGTGAAATATATGTAAGTGCTGTATGTATCCAGTAAGATAGCTGCATATAATTATAGGTAAGTGCTGTGAGGAGCCAACTGACAGTATGTAAAAACTGAACGGCATTACAGTTACTTTTTTTGGCGTTGGTATATCAGGTAGGAGCATGTTAAAAAACAAACAAACAACAAAAAAAAACCCCCAGATTTCCTTCTCCCTTACTGGAAAGTACTTATGTATGCTTACCACATGTGACTCGGAACAGCAGTGTCACCAAGATGCTCCCCTCAGTGTGCAGTGTCTCTCTACTGAGGATTCTTTGTCAAAAAATATAGGTCAGTACAACCATATTGACAAAGGTTCTTCCTAGTGGAGGTAAATGTTGCAGGCTGAACAGAAGCATCTTCTTTTTTTGTTCTAACTGAACTGGTTATTATTTAAAATATATATATATATTTTTTTAAAGCAATTGGTTCAATTGTATTTTGTTGCTCTTGCTGTGTGTACATCTAAGGGACTGAATTTCTGGGAGATAAATCTGCATATCCATTGACTGAGTACAGAAACAGATGGATGCACAGGACAGCATGTTAGATCTCTCTTCTATATGTAAATTATTCAGGAGGGATCAGATATACCACAGTAGTTTAAAGGCTTTGATAGTCTCACTTGCGTTACGATACTTATTTTTTTTTTTCCTTATATTGTTTCAGGTTTCTGTCACAGCCCGAGATGATGTCCCCTTCTTTGGACCCCCTCTGCCAAATCCAGCCATATTTAGAAAGGTTTGTTTCTTTGGTCCAGTGTTAGAGGGATATGGTACACAGCCCTGTGTTCTGAGTCGGTATCGGCAATCTGGCTGGATGACTTTGGGAGTCTAAAGAGTAGTAAGGCAGAGCTTTTCTCATATGACATCTTTATTCCTGTTTTCATCTCCAGTCTAGTCTTCATCTTGTCTTACAGAGTGCAGAGTTTCGTGAATTCCTCCTGGCCAAGCTCATCAATGCTGAGTACAGCTGCTATCGAGCTGAGAAATTTGCTAAATTAGAGGTGGGTCTATTACCTGGTTGCTTTCATTAAAAAATACGAAATTGTATTAATACCAGAATAAGAAAATACAATATAATATTTTACTTTCTTCTGGTTTTGTGTTGCTTAAAAAAGAAGATGAAATGTCATTATACTCAGCTCTGTGATGCTTACTTTGTATTTCACAGCAGGTGTGATAGAATATGAACAGGTACATTCTAATGTAAAGATCTAATCATCAAGTAGGAATGGGAATATGGTGCTTCCGTTTTGCTGGAGGAAGTTCTGTATTAGCTGAAACTTGGTATTTTGCTACAGGCTGTGTACTGATACCACTGATTTTAGTTCAAGGTACCAAAATTCTGTTCTGGACTCTGCTGCTTGCCTGATCTAGAAAAATCTGCCCTCAATCAGTCCATGCCTCTGTTTCATCACCTGTAAAGAAGTACTGATGTCCTTTATGACTTGCTTTAGAAAGAGTTTAAAACAGCTGGATATTACTGTAATATATTTGATAACTATATAGCTAAAATCACTTCATAATATTTAAATTAATTTTCATGGTAACTTATTATAATTTTTTTTAAGGAGGATGTGTGAGATATTGCAAAAACAAGGAAATCCCCTCCACTCCCAATAATAGCTGTGTTTTCATTCCCAATGTTGGTGCAGGAAAGAACCCGGAGTGCCCTCTTGGAAAGCCTTTTTGAGGAGCTGCAGCTCCGCAGCCGCAGTATGATGGGATTGCCCATAGGGGAGGATGACAAGATAGAGAATGGCAGTGGGGGCTTCCTCGAGAACTTCAAGGTGAGCCATAGTGGATTGATTCCTTACCCAGTCTCTTACGATTTTCTCAAGTTCACTGTGTGTTCCTCCAAGGAATATCGACCCTACTGATCTGCTGTGCTTACAATATGGCAGATAAAAAGTCTTTCCATCCAGCAGCCTTTCTTTAGAGCATCTTAACTGTGCTTTACAGTTAAGTTACACATCTCTCAATAAAAGAAATTTTCCCCCTTCCTGTGCTCCTTTCTACAGAGCTACAGTGTGATCTAGGGTGGAATTCCATACTGTCCCTGAGAAATCAAACTCTTTATGCGTCCTGCTGGTGTCTAATGTCCAGTGGGGTTTCAGTCCATGAATTACAGGAAAAGGAGTGAGTGTTTGCAAGAGGAATTTTAATAACTAGTAGCAAGCAGCTCTCAGTTCCTATAGCAGATCTCTTCCAATTAATTTTTGTTATAACTGAAAGAGTTGCAAGAGACACTGCAAGGGAGTTTCTAACATAACTGTGAGTGTACTGTCCAGAAAAACTGTGATGCTTTACATACTCTCTAAAAGCCTGCGTTAATTTACCTTTGTTCAGTGTAGATGACACTTTATTTTCCTTTTTTTTTAATATAAATCAGGATCAGGTGACAGAACTTACTTTTAAAAGTGATGAAGGTGATATAAGAAAGCAAGGTTTTTGTACAAAAAGTCAGACTGAGTTTTGAATTGATTATATTGAGAGAATCTTGTATCAGTTTCCTATCTACTACTTCTCCTTTCCCACTTCTGTGCGAGGTGCCTCACCACTTCTTTTGTATAGTAAGTTATCTGTCTGGACATAGAGACTTATTATAAATAGCATTTCTTCAGATGACCTCCGCCCCTTTGTGTCGTGGGCTGGATAGAGTTGTTAGGGGCTGTGAAACTAATCCATTCACACATAGGTTTGGTAGCTATATCTGTAGCTTTGGTCAGAGCTAGGGTGCTTTGGTGAGGCGTATTTTTACATGCAGTCTACGCTGCCTTTGCTGCTAACCAGGAATTTCATACCCAGCCGTGTCTTACACTAATTACCCAAAATGTTCCTTTCTGACTTGTAGCTGTGATTTGCTTGTCATGTGCACAGATCACCTTTGTAAAAGGCTGGAAAATGCCAAGTAAACTCAGAAGGTGGCTTTTCCAAATGCTGCAGACTTTTATATGGCTGCTTTCCCTTTGGAACCAGCACTCAAGTTCATGCAAGACTGAACCTTGCAGTGGTGAACAGGAGTTAGATTTTGTATTTTGTAGCCTGTACTGGTTAGGACTGCTCCAGATGATGCTGTCCTATCCAGTGTGCTGGGATACTGGTAGGGAATCCCTAGTTATTGCAACAGGACAAGGGAGGGGAAAGTCTTGCATATACTTGAGGAAAAGTTCTTCCCTGGCAGTGAGCTCCATGAATCGGCTAGGACCAAAAATGGGTAATATCTAAGATGCTGCCTTCTAGGAGTTAGGATCTGTGTGGTTCTGGTGTTTGGTCTGTCCCAACTTTCCACCCAACCTGTGGTGCTTTCCGTGCTGCCCTACCGTGTGCATGTCTCTATGTCTATCCGTGTTTGTCTGTTTCCCTGCCTCCCTTCTGTTCAGCGGGTGATCAGAGGCCGCAGCCAGAGCCTGGATACCATGGGGATATCCATGAGAAAGCAGCAGCCAGCCACCCTGCCCAGCCGCCCAACTACAGCTGGCCTTGCCCTCAGCCAGAGTGTCGCCGAGGGCCCTAAGGCCATTGCTGCGGTAAGGTATTTGGGTGGGCTGTAAGAAGAAACCTGGCCCACTCCTACATTCTGTTTCTCTTTCCCTATTAGCTTGTCCTCTTGTCCTTCTGTGAATCTCTTTCTGTTGTACCATCCCTTTCCACAAGTGGAGACACAGCGTGCGTTGCAGCCTGTTTTGTCTGTGCCTATCTCTAGCCACAGTTCCTCTGTAAACTAAAGTTGAGATTTGATGCAGACTGGGAGAAGAAAGCCAAACATGATTCCACATCAGACCTCTATCTCTGCTGTCCTGGATTAGATCTTGTACATTGCCATACCTTAGAAAAACATACACACTGTGGTTTGACCAGAATGGTACAGTATTGTTGTATGGCAAGAGCTGAGAACAGAAGGACACTAGGTTTGTTCCATTTTCTTCAGTTTCACCAGTCAGATTCTTTTCTGTAATATAAAAAGGTGCACAATGTTTATTCAATGTACTGTTTTGCTGTAAATAGAATTTCCATGTTGGGAACAAACAGCAGAATTAATAAAGTTTGGGATAAGAAAAAGAGTGAATATTATTAGTCACTATCAAAACCTCTCTTATTTGCTAGGAGATATTAAATGTATGTGATCAGTGTGAGCATAATAAATCTGTGACAAATGGTTCCAGAAAAGGATCCATGTTTCTAATACTGGAAATATGGTTACCTTGGCCAAAGTGGATCCAGCTTATTATGGTCTTTGCACCAGCGATGTTAATACAGGCAAACTGTAAAGAAACATCTCTGAGTAAGCTAAGAAGTTGCCTTTCAGTGTGGAAATTCCTTGGTGACAGTTTTGTATGCATTCTTTATGTCAGCACAACGAAGTCATAGACTAGTAATGACTTGGATTTGCTGCTTCCTTCTCTTAACTTCTAGTTTTCTCTGCCTTGTAAATTCTGCCTCTCCTCGTATGGGGATACCTCCCTTCCTGAGCTGCTTTCTCTGTATACTGGCTGTGTATCTTGTTTGCCTTTGTTTCTGTATCTCTCCGTCTCCTCCTCATACCACCTTTGTAAGCCCTAGCTTCTCTTCCTCACTGACAGAAAGTCCTCCTCCTTGCACCACCGGTGGAGCTGGGCCCTGCTATTGCATTGCAGAGTTAAGGAGAGGATCTGGATCCACATCGCAAACTCCCTCTCCCATCTGCTTCCAGTTCTCCAGTTTTTTTTCCTGTCTTGTTCTCCTCCCTCCTTTTCTGTCACGCTTTCCTTTTTTCTAGTCTTTTGCCTTGCCTGGTAGGAGCCCATCACGCACTCGAGCCAGCCGCTTCCACGGGCGACGGAGCAGTGCCATTGGCATTGAGAATATACAGGAGGAAAAGAGGTATGAGCAGTGGGAAGGTGAGACAAAGAGAGAAAAAAAACAGGAAGAAATAAGAAAAGGGAGATGGAAAGGGACGTAGAAGGACAGAAAGGGAATCGACAGGAATGAGAATTCAAATTGAAATGGTTGGATTGGGAAGAAAAGCCTGGTTATCGGCTAATGGAGAAATGGACAAAAGACAGAAACAAGCAAAATAGAAACAGACTATTTGGAAATGGGGAGAATCAATATTTGAGGAAGGAGGGAGGAGGTGGGTGGAGGAGCGTGGTAAGATTGCTCTTAAACATTGTGCGGTTACAGTCTAGGACTCTTGGTTTTCCTGTTCTGTATTTGCCACTTTTAGATAAGAGTCAGATGAAAGGCTTTTACCTGGGAAGGGAGAGTTGGGTCCTTGATTGTTTGTTTTCATGATAAAAAAATTCAAGTAGAGAAAACTTCTGATAACTTTAAAAAATGAGCTTAAATTAGATAGTTTGAGAAATAATTATATCTGAGGGATAACATACAGGTTTAAGGAGTGATTTGGCATATTTGACAGAATTATAACCATTCTAAAGTTGTCTATTGGTCACTAGAGATTATTTAGTTAAATCAATAAATCAGCTAGAGCTGAGACATCTTTTTATGATTATACAGTCTCAAAAGTCACGTGATTGCTCTGCATCTAATATACAGTTTTCCCAGTTGCAAGAATTCCAGGGAGCAGCTTAAAGACTCAGCGTAAAAGGGGAAAAGCCATCTTTACTGTGGAAACTAGTGATTTCACAACAGGAAGAATTGCTACATTTCCCCTTCTTCTCAGTTGTTCTCTTGGACCTTACCTTAATGAGGTGCCTATGACCTAATCCGAATAAAAATAGTATAGAACTTTCTTTGAGAAAAATAAAGTCTTTTAAGATGACTTCCCTGTGACGGTTTAAGCCAACACAGTAGCCACAGCTCCTCACTTTCTTTGAGAAAAATAAAGTCTTTTAAGACAACTTCCCTGTGACAGTTTAAGCCACACAGTAGCCACAGCTACTCGCTACTTTAAATAGTTTTGTACCTTATGCAGCTGTGCCCCTCAACCCATTACTTTGTGTACATCCTTCATTATCCCCTTAAATGACCTGTAAAAGTTTCCTACAACAAGGAAAAACCCTGACTTTCTCCTTTTTTTTTTTTTTTTCCCCTGCTCTTTGCTAGGAAGGAATGGGTAAGCTGTTGGGTTTACTTAGCTTTCCTCTTGCTTATTTGTAATCTTGGACGTGAGGAACGGTGAGCCTCAGCTTGTGTTATGTGAAAGACATTTTGGGTGCTTCTTGAAGGAGCAGTTCACTAGCAACTGGTCTAATTGTTCATTGCTGCTGTAAAGCAGGTAACATACTTTCCCTCTCCCAGTGTCTCTTTCAACTACCAACAATCCTGTCCCATTCCTTGTGATGGCTCAGATGCTTAGTGGGCCCTTCATGGAACTGATTCATTCATCTACAGAGAAAGTATGGACTTTCTTTCATTGGATTGTCTGCCAGGTTCTGCCATGAACTGGATCATGGAGAAGCCTGATGGGTACCAGGGCTGATGGAAAGTACACTCAGCAAGAGTGGAGGAGGCTGGAGCAGGCCTGCTCTCCCTGGCAACACTGAGCTCAACACGTCATGGGTGATTTCACCCTGAAGCTATAGTTTAATGATATGCAGGCTTTGATGAGAGAGCTGACCAGTCCATCCTGCTTGTTCATGTGTTGTGGAAGTTTCAGGGTTATTTAGAATTGGATTTTTTTTTCAGGAAATACAGTAGCCACAGCTCCTCACTACTTTAAATAGTTTTGTACCTTATGCAGCTGTGCCCCTCAACCCATTACTTTGTGTACATCCTTCATTATCCCCTTAAATGACCTGTAAAAGTTTCCTACAACAAGGAAAAACCCTGACTTTCTCCTTTTTTTTTTTTTTTTCCCCTGCTCTTTGCTAGGAAGGAATGGGTAAGCTGTTGGGTTTACTTAGCTTTCCTCTTGCTTATTTGTAATCTTGGACGTGAGGAACGGTGAGCCTCAGCTTGTGTTATGTGAAAGACTTTTTGGGTGCTTCTTGAAGGAGCAGTTCACTAGCAACTGGTCTAATTGTTCATTGCTGCTGTAAAGCAGGTAACATACTTTCCCTCTCCCAGTGTCTCTTTCAACTACCAACAATCCTGTCCCATTCCTTGTGATGGCTCAGATGCTTAGTGGGCCCTTCATGGAACTGATTCATTCATCTACAGAGAAAGTATGGACTTTCTTTCATTGGATTGTCTGCCAGGTTCTGCCATGAACTGGATCATGGAGAAGCCTGATGGGTACCAGGGCTGATGGAAAGTACACTCAGCAAGAGTGGAGGAGGCTGGAGCAGGCCTGCTCTCCCTGGCAACACTGAGCTCAACACGTCATGGGTGATTTCACCCTGAAGCTATAGTTTAATGATATGCAGGCTTTGATGAGAGAGCTGACCAGTCCATCCTGCTTGTTCATGTGTTGTGGAAGTTTCAGGGTTATTTAGAATTGGATTTTTTTTTCAGGAAATTTTCCAGTTTCACAAACAGTTGTATTAGCATAAGTGAGGGCATGAGGAACAGTGATGTGAGGATCAACTGACCAAGAGAGCAGAGGAGGAGCTTTGTGAAGTTCCATCCTCCAATTCCATCACTGAAGCCACAAAAAGAAAAAACACCACCAAACCCCTGAGTTTTCCAATTTTTAATTAAACACACCCCGCTTTTCAGTTACTCACGCAGACAGCTTTCTTTACAAGTATCTTGACAAGTACTAGAAGCAATAAAACTATTGTAACCATTCTGAAACAGGGAAATTTGCTGAGTCCTTTTTCTTTAAGTAATAAATATGTAAGCTCTCTAATCAGTCCCAAAGCTTCTTAAGAAGAATGAAATGGGGAAGGTAGAGGAGAAAGTTGAAGAATTAAAGGAGAATACTGAAATTAATTTTGGCTTTGATATCAATTCAAGAGGAGCTTCAAGTTGGTCATTTCTAATATATTGCCCTCAACAGGTCACATCTAAGGAGTGCTTAGGTCACATCTGTGTGACCTTGGGTCACATCTGCTTTTTTAAACACAACTGCATTGGCTTCCCTTTCATGTGTATAGGAAAGATCCAGCTTTGTATTGTAGCTTGCAAGAAGTGTTTGGATGGTTAGCGGTTAACTCTGGCCCTGGGGTACAAGCTGCTTTCTCTTTTGTCCCAGCAGAGACACTGTAGAGAGGATACAGAAGGTGCTGGACAATCCAGGAACTTTCTTTGACCTGAAGTCCGATGGATCATCCAGTCCCAGCTCCCCAGAGTTCCCCAGCAGGAAGAACAAGTGAGTTGAAAATAATTTTAATATTTAAAAGACACTCAATGTGTCTGGTATTGGCTTAAGTGTGGTGCATGTCTTCTTCTGTTGGAGGCTTTACTGAGATTGTCCACATCAGGCATTGCAGCATCTTAACAGTTAGATGTCTGGCCATGGCACTGTGATTGAGACCATGTAAGTGAGGAATTCAGCTTTCTTAAACAGTCAGTGAAGAAAGATTGGACCACTTAAAGGTGATTTTGGCTTTATCTTTACTGTAAGATTAGCTCACATCCAACAGGATGCACAAAGCCCTAGCTGTCTAGTTATCCATGCTTTCTTCATGTAGATGTTTCCTCTGGAGTCACAAAGCCCTAGCTGTCTAGTTATCCATGCTTTCTTCATGTAGATGTTTCCTCTGTAGTTCGCTCTGGAAAGATTTTGGAGCTTCATGGAGAAGCTTGGACAAGGGTATGTTGGGTTGTACACAAGTTCTGCCCCTTTAAGCAGGATTCATGCTGCTGCTCCCAACCAGCATAAACTAGCCTGTCTTCGCTCCTCACAAAGTGCTACAGCAGGGTCTCCTGTGTTGCACCTACGACGTTTCATTGCTAAAGCACACCGTACCATGCCCAGTGTTCTTCTGCAAAACACTTCATGCAGTAGTCTGCAAAATAGTCCCCCAGTTCCTGATGGTCAAAAACTGGAAAAATGCACTTTCCTGGTAGTGAAGCTTTGCTGTTGCTAGGCTGTATTATGCTGGGCTGTGAACCCATCTAGGATACTTCAGGACTTCACAGAAACCCCACCTTTACATTTCCAAAACTCCAGAGCAGCCTGGCTCTAAATCCAAGACTGCAGCTGACTTTCTGGAACAGCTTGCCATACATGATTTTTTTATGGAGAACTTGGATGAGACCTGTGGCAAAAAGGGCACTGAGTACTTGGTAGTAGGGCATGTCCTTTTCTTATGACTGCAGCTGCTCTAAGAAGATGTCAGGAGGTGCCCTAGAGCCAGGCCTCTATGGTTGTAATTGCTCCAGGTGCTAAGTCTGAGAAGGAAGGGCTTTCCTTCCAACTAGACCCAATGTTCCCTAAGAAGTACAAGCTGGTAACTCTCTGCAGTAGTTCAGCTGTGCAATTGTATGCTGTAGGACTGCCCAGAATTTTGTCACAGCCAAGGTGCAGAGTTCTGGTAAGTATTGTTTTTTTTTGGTGATGCTAGTTTTTATGTTGAGTTGGGTGTTCAAAATTTTGGTGGGAAGGAGGACGGGAGTACAGCTAGGAGATACAGACCATTTAAGATGCTAGGACAAGAGAGAATACAGGGCATGGGACCACTGATGGGTCAACAACCCCCATCTTCCAGTATTACCATCTCATTCCACCTCCCTTTCCTCCTCCTGCCTGGGACTTTGTTAGTGAACTAGAAGACCCTGGCTAGGCACATGTGAGGGACTCTTGCTCTCATTAGGTAGCTGAAGCGACCTTGCACAATCAGCAAGAATTCTGCCTAGTAAGAAGACATCTCATAGCTTGGCTGGTCCTGGTTACCCTACTGTAGAATGTGCGCATGTCCTGAAAAAAAAAAAAAGATGAAGCTTTCTTGACATTTCTTCCTGATTTCTGCATTTCATTGTGGGCTTCCCCCACTTCTCAACCTCCATTCTCCATTCATCAGCTGAGGAGGTGAGCCAGCTGCAATATCCGTTTCGAATTGGTATCACATGCTTTCAGAGAGCAAACAGAGCATGGGATTTCACTAACAATACTTGCATGAACATCATTTATGCACATGAGGCATGACCTGTATGATTTGGCAGCCCGTTTGCTTTTGTCTGCGGGTTTCTCTCGGTGCATCTTTTTCCAGTCATGGACTCAAAACCACTTGTACGATCAACAGAAAAGTCTTTTCACAGTTATGGTGGTTTAGCCCATCCCTGGACAGTTTGTTTATGAGGTTTATGAGGTGGGATGTAGCATGGAATTTTGCACAATTGGTGATTAGCCATAGTTAGAGTCATGATATCAGAGTTAGGGACCAGCCCATGTATGGTATGCAGCCATACCTTCTGCATCATAGCTGGGAGAGGGACACAAGGACATGAAATTCCACCATGTAAAGCACAGAATTTTCACCAAGACAGTATTGCAGGAACAGTCCAGGAGTGTAATTCTAACAGTTTGTCTCAGAGACAGTTCTACTGAAATAGTCTATTTATTGTTCATGAATTGTGGAACCACAAATCAGGATCATGATATAGGCATATTTCTAATGCAAAAAGAGTTCCAGCGAGTTCTACGGTAATTTATGCAGCCTATATTAAAAACATTATCCCTGGTAGTATGTCATCAATCCTCTCCTGGTTCTCTCCAGGGAGCAGCGTCACAGGAAATTCCTCTATTGCAATAACGTCCAGGATGTTGCTGCTGGGCTTAAATAATCATTTCAAATTCTAGACTTGAATGATGAAACTCTTCCATCTATGTTCTACTAAAACCAACTTGGAAATAAATGCAAAAAGAACTCATAAAGAATAGATTAATTCTTTTGCAGTAGAGACAAACCAGCACTTAACTTTCTGTCCTCGCGTGCTGGTTTCCAGCGCACCCTTCTGCACTGATCCACCTGCAAACCGCAAAACCACACTGTTCACTTGACCTAACAGTGTCTTCTCTCCCACATAGAGGGACAACTGTCCTTAGTTTTCCTGCTCCACTGTCCACGTAACCTTCCTAATAACCCTGCTTCCCAAGGGACAGATCCAAAAGAGTGAACCCAGCCTAAGTCACTGGGCAGCAAAGCTCCTCAGGATCAGACGGCTTTTTGGGTTGCGTCTGAAAAATCAAGCACTGTACTGTGTATGTCCCAATTCTAGGAAAAGTACATGGGTTTTGTGTGTGTGTGTGTTTTCCCTCCTCAGACACATCTGAGTGGGGACACCAAGCCAATCAGGAGTGGACCGGATGCTACTCAGTCATTGGTTACCTCACTGAAGACACTGGCAAGACTTTTGGGGTGAAATGAGAGTCCTGGCTAAGAGGAGCATGAACTTAGAGGACCTCAAGGACTGTGGAAAGACCGAGTGGCATCAAGTAGTGCTCCACTGGCAGTTCCCGGAGCAGAAATCCTGGGAAAGGGAGATGGACAGATAGCTCCTATTGGAGCATTTTGGTTCTTTGCCCTTCCCACTGCCCAATCAGCAGCCACTGAACCAGGCCCTACTAATGATGGGGGAAGGAGGCCACCTGAAGTGCCTCCCCTTCTCTTCCCCTCCCCTCAGATGAGCAAGAAGAGAACATCTTGGCCCGCAGAAGAACATGTTTCCACCTCTGTCTCTAGTGCCTTCGGATGACATAGGTCAGGAAGTGCAGTGCAGAGAACAAGGATGGAGAAACCTGCTGAGGAAGGATGCTGAGAAGGAGATGCTTTGTGGAAATCTAGGTCCCAGCTTACTTAAATTCACGTTATTGATTTGCTCTGCCAAGGGAGAAGCATGTTGGCTTTCATTTCCTCCAAAATATATTTCCTAATCTCCTGAGGAAATATCTTTGGCCTATATTGGCCCTATCTTTACTGTTCTCCCTGTTGCATGCTGGCATGTAATATGCCTGGGACTTTAGGTTTCATTACTGCTTGTAGGTCAAGACTGGCCACATTTTGCAGTGTTTCTGAAGGAATAAATATATTTAGTATGTTAAAGGTGTCTTATCTTTCTTGCCTCTTGGAGCTTTTTGGGGTTTCTTAACATTTTTAAGCACTTCATCTCTCTGTTATTGGCTGGCCTCTTGTGCAGGCAGTGAGTATTTCACCGTAAATGTTAGGCTTACATGCACAGTGCACTTTCCACCATGTAAGCTTATCAGCCTCATGGACTGCTCTTTCTCCTAGATGACTGCAAGCAGTGGATCCCAAATTCTGAGCTGGGAGAAGCTGACCTTGACAGATACGAAACATGCATCAGGCTACCTCAGTGTCCATGAGGTTTGGGAGAGTGGTGCTCAAGTGACCCAATACAGTTTGCTTGGCATGTTCCTTTTTTAATGACCCTGTGGGAGCTAAAAGTCTAGTGGGATGGACCTACAGGAGCCAGTTTACTGGCAACTGGGTGTATGTAAAATCACCAGGATGGGCATCCTAACTTAGGTATGTTCTTACCTATAAGGAAGAGAGAAAGCCAGTTTACTGGCAACTGGGTGTATGTAAGATCACCAGGATGGGCATCCTAATTTAGCTATGTTCCTATAAGGAAGAGAGGTTCTGACCTGTCTGTGTAAGAGCTTGGCACTTGATCCTAACAGTTTGGCACTGAGACATTCTAAAATAATGCAAATCTCAGTAATTAGCTTGGCACTTGATCCTAACAGTTTGGCACCGAGACATCCTAAAATAATGCAAATCTCAGTAAATTTTTTTCCTACCTTCTCATTGCTTCCTTAAGTTTTCTTAGTTCACCATTCTCTAATGCTGGTTAATATCTACATGGTTTCCTGACTTCTCCTGTTATTTTTTTCCTACCTTCTCATTGCTTCCTTAAGCTTTCTTAGTTAACCATTCTATAATGCTGGTTAATGTCTACATGGTTTCCTGACTTCTCCTGTTACAACTGTTCAGAAACCTAGTGGTGACAGTTTATAAGCTCTAGGTCATGAAAAATGTGCTTTTATAGTCCCCTTGTGCTGTCTGGAATTTCATGTAAGACCAAACAGGATAGGCTGAGGGTGGCTGTGGGAATGGGGAGCCTAGGCTGGGTAATGCCTTCCCTTTATACTCAACAGCCACTCGTGTTGTGTTTAGGCTCCTAAAGCGTCTGATCTCCAAAATGAAGGCATCTGTTGATTTTAATGAATGTCTAGAGGGAAACAGTGCTCAAAGTCAGGTGGTTTGACTCATTCTGCTTTAAGACACTTGGGTGTATGACTTCAAAATTCACTTGGTCTTGTCCCTTCATGCAGTTACCCAGCATGGAAACAAGCGATGGTGTCTCTACTAAATGAAGTAGTGACTAGAAATTAAGGAATTCAAGCCAGTTCACATGAATTCCGCTCCTAGGTGGAAAATCTAGCTGTGGATGAATAATTTCTTTCTTAATGTTTCTGACTGCTATACAATAAAGTTATGGCACGAAAAGTGAAAGCCTATATGTAACAATAAGCATGATGATGTTGAATGCTTGCCTTTCACAGGCTGCTCAGGAGTCAGACTTCAGGATACTGTGTGATGCAGCCATTCTCACGTTCTTCATCCAGTGTAAGCAGTTGTTGTAGTGGTTTGAGGGAAAATGAAACATCCGAGGACGAGGAGAATGACAGGGTGGGTGTATGATCTCTAACAAACAGGCTACCTCCCTGATTTTACCAAGTGCATTATTAAAACACGTCTTCTTTGCCCTCTCCAGGAGCTGATGTGCTCTCTTGAGGGCCCTCCAAAACAGGATTCAATGATTCAGAGTATGTGGCTGGATGACGGTGACTGCACACCCAGTACTTCCAGCTCACCAGGTAAAAAAAAAAAAAAGAAAGAAAGAAAATCAGAAAATAAAAAAATAAATCCTCTGCTTATGCTTCTGGCAGCATATGTGAGGTTGAGCAGTATTTGTTTGGCAACATCTTTTGTATAGCTATACTTCAGATTTGAGAAGCCTAGGTAGATGATAGGCTTAGAGAAATGGGGAGAGAAGGGGAAGTGTGTTTCAGTAGCATGAACTGCTGTACACTGCAGAAGAATTAATGTGTTTATGTGTTTCCGTGGAGAACATGTATCTCAATGGTCGCTTTTATGAATGCAGTGCTCCTTTATAAACTAGAGAGTTTGGATATGGCTTCAAGCTGGAGGGGAACAGATTTAGATTGGAGATTAGGAGGGGGTTCTTTACTGTGAGGGTGGTGGAGCACTGGAACAGGTTGCCCAGGGAGGTGGTTGAGGCCCCTTCCCTGGAGATATTCAAGGAGAGGCTCGACGAGGCCCTGGGCAACCTGGTCTAGTTGGGGGTGTCCCTGCTGACTGCGGGGAGGTCGGACTAGATGACCTTTGGAGGTCCCTTCTGGCCTGGGCAATTCTATGATTCTATGATTCTATGATATGGGAATTACAGAAACGGTGCTTCCTGAACAAAGCAGTGTGCTCCTGAGAAGGTGAGCTTTTTGACTGCCAAGGGTGGACTCTTAGCGTAGTACTTGATCAAAGTTGATGTCGTTGATTAAAGTCAGCTTAGATCCGTTCACAGTGCAGAGATTATTATAGTCATTGCAAGTTCTCTGTAGTCCCATACCAGGCAGAACTATTGCAGTACCTGTAGCTGAGGTTGCGTCAGCTGCCCTGATCTCAGCTCCTCTTTGCAGTCATATTTCACTTCGTTGAAATGAACTGTTTGGGATTGAAGCATTCCTTGTTGAGCATCAGCCTAAAGCTAAAATTATGGAAAATTCAAATCCCTTTCAGTCTGTTTTTGAGGATGGGGCTGGAGGGACTGTGTAAGATTTTGGGGAAAGTATGATTGAAAAGACTAAGCTTTTGAGATTGAGAAGTCATTAGGAACATTAGTAACTGGAAGGCAAAACTTAACATTTGTTGCTAAAAGATTCTGGAATAGGAGCAGGTTGAGATGGTAAGAAATAATAGGGATTATGTGGGATGGCAAGGAAGAGAGTAGGTTGGAAGGAACAGTGACATCTTTATAGGATTTGTGTGAAAAGGGATTGTTGAAAAAGATTACAAGGGATTACAAGGTCAGAAAGTGAAGCCAATTTACTTTGAAGACAGAGTTAGGTCTCAGTCTCTACAGCAAACCTGTGTGAGGTATCAAGAGTGACCATCAGATCCCTGCTTAAAATTGCCTGTATCTTGGCAACAGCAATGAAGATGTGATACTGTGAGATGTTCCGCAGAGACCTCTGTTCTGTGAGATGTTTTGTAAGATTTCTCCACTTCTGCAGAGCAACTCTCAGCATGAGTGCTTGGATACTTGGAGGCACATGAGAACCCAAGGGGCTGGTACCAAAACTCTACAAGAACAGGAAAAACAAGTGGAGTTATTGATCATGCAGAGAAGAGAGCCATGCTACATGCTATAATTAGGAAGTGGGGTACTATATACAGTCTGCCTGTCCTCAGGGAGAGACATAAAGGTGTTAAATGTGGAGACAGGAAAAAACAGCATGTGAGGAACCTTCACAGCAGAAGACAGCTAATGAGCTGCTATTAGGAGGCAGAAGCTGGGAATGAGCTTCTGTAAATCTTTGTGTTGAAAGCTAGGAAGAAAGAGGTCAGTGTCGTCAGCTCAGCGCAGGAGTGATAAATAGATACTGTAAATCCAGGAGGCCCAACACCATGAAATTATCTCTTTTTGAAGGGATCTGACACCATAAAGGCAATAGCTCCTTTGTGCCTGGTGGTGGGAGGGTTTTCACTGTATCACCATGGCATTATCCAGGCTGCCATTTCCAATGGTCTGGGATTATCCTGAGCAGGCCACAGCTCCCTTCACAAATGCTTGAGCTTTTTTCACTCCTGTTGCCTTTGTGGCACTGTGCTGAGACCAAGCAGGCGTGAAAGATGGTTCCCTGTCAAAAGTGAACAAACAGCTTGTGTTTACTTATGATGAGAAGTACTAATGGGAGCGTAAAATAAGTGTAAACGCAAAGTAGCTTGTTTTGCTTGGTATCAGAAGTTGTCTATTATCACCAAGTAAAAGATCTCAAATTGTTTTTGACCTTGAAGGTAACTGCAGTTCCCTCTGCTCCCCGTTTCTCCAAGAGCATTCCCAGGCACAGACATACTGTGGTGCCAATAGGCCTCCCCTGACAGGGCCCACAGTTTAATCCAAGTGTGCTTTTTCCGCAAATGCTCTTATCACTCCCATCTACCTGCGCCACGCAAAGCCCAGTGGAACTCATCCGCTATAAACTTTTATTATATTGGCTTGGGTTCTCTCTCCTTTTACCCCTTGTCATTGTTTAACCCCAGCTGGCAATTAAGCACCATGCAGCTTCTTACTCACTCCTCCCTGGCAGACACAGGGGAGAGAATCAGAAGAGTAAAAGTGAGAAAACTTGTTGAGACAAAGACAGTTTAACAGGGTAAAGAAAAAGCCACATGCACAAGCAAAGCAAAAAAAGGAATTAATTCTCTGCTTCCCACTGGCAGGCAGGTATTCAGCCACCTCCAGGAAAGCAGGGATCCATCAGGGTTACTTGTGAAGACAAATGCCACAACTCCAAACATCCCCCCCATCCTTCTTCTTCCTCCAATTTTATATATGGAGCATGACATCATGTGGTATGGAATATTCCTTTGGTCAGTTGGGGTCAGCTGTCCTGGCTGTGTCTCCTCCCAACTCTTTGTGCATTCCCAGCCTACTCACTGGCAGGGCAGAATAAGGAGCAGAAAAGGCCTTCCCTCTGTGTAAGCAGTAATTAAAACATCCTTGTATTACCAACACTGTTTCCAGCACAAATCCAAAACATAGGGAGCTATGGTTGTTCAGCCTGGAGAAGAGGAGGCTCCGGGGAGACCTAATAGCAGCCTTCCAGTACCTGAAGGGAGCCTACAGGAAGGCTGGGGAGAACCTGTTTAGAAAGGCCTGCAGTGACAGGACGAGGGGCAATGGCTTCAAGCTGGAGGGGAACAGATTTAGATTGGAGATTAGGAGAGGGTTCTTCACTGTGAGGGTAGTGGAGCACTGGAACAGGTTGCCCAGGGAGGTGGGTGAGGCCCCATCCCTGGAGATATTCAAGGAGAGGCTCGACGAGGCCCTGGGCAACCTGGTCTAGTTGGGGGTGTCCCTGCTGACTGCGGGGAGGTCGGACTAGATGACCTTTGGAGGTCCCTTCCGGCCTGGGCAATTCTATGATTCTATGATAGTCCCATCCTAGCTAGTATGAAGAAAATTAATTCTACCCCACCTCACTCTGAGCTCCTAGCTTGCTACCTTGGGAAAAGCTGCTGACTCAACACCCTCTCCAGCAGGTTATTCACCCTTGCTGTTCCCCTTTCCTTATGGATATTGGAAATAGGCATGGTTTCTAGTGACCTCTGCTGCTCTGCCTAGATAGTTTCCCCATGTGCTGACTCCTTATTTTACCACAGGTGTATACATGATAAATATATATCACTGACAATAATCATTACAGAGAATGTGATGTAAAATTCAATTTAATTCTCAGGTTTTATACGCTCTGTGGTCCATGGCAGTGATCTGATACTGACACTGCAAAACTTTCAGTGTGGCTTCTCGGTACCTTGGCATAGTAAAACAGCTGCACCCTGCAGGAGTAGTGACTTTTTGCTGTACCACATCTACTCTTACATCTTCAGTGCAGAATTATTTCCTGTAAGCCTGGATCTTACACTGAATGATTCTAAAATTCCTAACCCATGTACACATTCTTGGATTCTCCAATTTGCCATTCAGATTGAGAGAGCAAAGTTAGAGAAAAGAAGAAAGAAATGGCTGCAATCTGTGGTCATTATGCTGCTAGAACTAGATAAAGACATAGAGAACTACCACTGCCAAAAACTGCTACTTTCTGAGTTGGCTTTAAAGCACCAACATGTCTCATATGACAGTGCCTATCACATGGGGCAGAGGTGACTTAGTCCTTAGCCTCAAGGCCAGGATTCAGCTGTAACCCTCCTTAATGCTTTCTTTAAGACACTTCTGGGTTAGTTAACATGCATAATTGTTCTAGATGTGTTTTTATTCAGTTACTTGGTCTATTAGTCACTACCTACAAACATACCTCATAATTATATTTCATAGTACTGGAGCTGGGATATATACAAAATGGAGAACAATCCAGGTACTGCAACTTCATGTTGTTTAAAGCCACATTTGGACAACTAATGGCAGTGATTTACTAGTTTTATTTTTAAACCTCAGCCTTTTAAATTTCATCATGAAACTGGGAAAGGGGGTATTCTACCTTTGAAAAACTGTGGAAACATAGTAGCATCTCATCTGTTCCCTAGAAAATATTAGTATGATCATCTATAGTTCAAAAAGAAAAAATAAAAGTTCCTGTGAAGGAGATCTTAGCTTACCATCTTATTGCAGGAACCCCTCATTAGCTGAATTTCACAGCTTTCTTAACTTTCCTGATTGAATGGTGGATAGGCATGCCATCAAAGTCATTCGTCTGTTCTTTCTGCCCTTTTAGTACATTCCACTCTGTCAACAACTCTTTAATCCAAACTCTTTCCATTTTCCTCTGATTCAAAGAAAAGAGTTATAATACAGATTTACTGTTGCAATACAGCTATGCATAAACTCCCAGGAACTATGCTATCTATAAAATTATGATATTTAATAATTTTAAATCAGCCTTAGTGCATAGGATAAGAATAAATTTCAATGGTGTAAGAAAGAGGGCTGTTAATTTTAGTCATTGTACTCATTTCTTGTGAAATACATATGGTGAATATTACAGAAAGAAAAAGAATGTTTTAAGTTTGCAAAGTATTTAATGCCTGGTTTTGCCATGGTGTTGATATGTGATGACAGGCAAAAACCTTAAACTCTGAGGTCAGGTGTGGGAATCTTAAGGGAAGGGGCAGAGGGAGGGGAAGGAAGGGAAACACTGTGAGAGTGTAAGATTAGACTCTGCTTCACAAAGCGTACTCTTAAGGCACTCAGGTTGCACAGATGTGTTCAGTAATGGTGTTTCTTAGCTTGACTGCATGATGCTGTCACCCACTGGAACCTGCTGTATTATTTAAAACTATTTTTTATGTATAATAGCAGACTGATACAGGAATTGAAAATGGGACTGATGGAAACACTCGGGAAAGTTGGAGAATGCCTTCATTACTTATCAGCTAGCTATAGACATACCTTCTTTAGGCAAGAAGCTATAGCCAGAACAGCTGTGGCATTGACACACAGTCTGGAACCAGGGGTCAATGATTTTTTTGAATGAAATGAAAGCTAAGTGGCAGTCACTTTTCTTGTGTTTCAAGCTGGAATGAGAAGTAGGTTGAGTAAGGTATAGATACATTTCCTTTCGCTCTTACTTGTGGATGAGCCACAGATCTGTGAAAAGTTTAGGGTAAAACCAGCTATGTGTGCAGCTCCTGGGATACCCTCTTGATTATTTCTTTATTGTTCTGTGCTTGGTTCCCTTCTAGGAAGCAGGTTGCTTCCTTCCAGCAGTGTTGCTGGCTCCACTGGAAAAGGAAAAGGCAGCAAAGCAGATGCTCAGCACCATAATCCAGTAAGTGCTTTAATCAAATGTTTCCTTCTCACTTGCACAGCGATAAGGATGGGAGAACAGAGACAGACTTAACTTAGGAGGCTTTGCTTGCTGAGGGTTGAAAGGACAAGAAGAAGGTGCTTGCAGGGAAGGTTAAAGAACTGCCTTGTTCTGCAGGCCTCCATTCTGTGCTGCGTGTGAGGTCACCGCTGGAGGACTGTCTGGGGGCACGCTGGGTGAGGAGCACAGGTAATGGACAGGGAGAAACACCACCGGCCCGTGGCTCAGGGTGGAGGTAGGCCCAGAGCCACCTCTGGCCCCCCTGAAAGAGTGCAGCAAGTATTGCACAGCTCCACAGTAAATAGAGTTAATCCTGTACCTTCTTCCCCAAGGGATCTGCCAGGGCCAGCTGACTCTGGACTGTTCAATCTACCCAAGCTCTGCCTTCCTCCGTTGCCTGCTCCCTCTCAGCAAACAGCATTTCCCATTGAGACATCTCTCCCTGCCCTAATCCGTGCTTAGTTTTATTTTCTTCTTTCATTGTTCAGTTTCCTTTGCTCAGATGCCACCTAGCTTTATCTGCTTTATCAGAGAACAGTCTGCTTCCTATGGTTTCATTATTTTGCTGAACCACTTTCTTTTTTTCTCATTTTGTGACTTTGTGCCTGTCTTTACGCTTGCTTGTTTGCTTTCAGCCTAGCATTGGTGGGGACCTGCTTCTCCATGCCAGTTTCACAGCTTTTCCAGACATGGGAAGTGGGACTGGATCTCCTAATGAGGTCTGTAATAGAGCACAGGGGAACACAACTCCAAGCTTGTTCCCTACAGTTCGTAGTCCAGTGTTGCCTGCGTTGCTGAGAGTCTTTCTTTTGGCCCAAAGTCCCTTTCCTTGCCCAGTACCTTCTCTGGCTTGACAGCTAAACAGCATGCTACCTTGAAAGTGATATGGATTTGAGGCTCTCAGGAATTACTTTGGTATATAGCTAAGTAGAAGAGGTATCATCTCTATAGAAGAAAATTTTTTTAGCTATTCCTAAATAGCTGTCACTTCTTAGTTTTTTCCAGTAATGCTCAATCTTTACCTGCCCTGCCACCTGGTGGCATTCAGAGCAGGCAGATAAACAGTTCACGAGGTGGTGACCATCGGTGTCCCTAAAGGCTGACACTCACAGAAAGAAAAGAAAGGGAAACCAGATAAAACAGCTGGAGGCTACCTAAATGCACGCTACATGAAAGCTATGTACTGAGAATGACAGTGTATCTGCCAGCCAGTGTTTACTGGGATAATCAACAGTCTGCCCAGAGCTTGTAGTTACAATCAGGTCTCTGTAACACAGGAGTAAGGTTGCCTAAACAAGAAGCAGAACTTCCTCAAAGCACTACTCCAAAACAGGCAACTTCTTCTCCCAGTAGGTACACAGTGAGCATTGCAGCAGTACGCATCCTCACTGATACAGATGCAAGGGCTGTGACCACTTACTAGTGGTTATCACAGGTAATAAGCAAATCCCGAGTTTGGATTTTCCTTATCTCAGTAGTGTTTAAGTACTATTTTAGTACCTAAGCCTTTGAGCATTTAATTTCCCCGGATTTCAAGTAGGTCTAAGGGCCTTTAAGATAATTTGGGGACAAGGATATCAGTCTTTAAGATCCATCTCATTTGCTCCATCTGCTAAATCAACAATGCTTTGTCACGAAGGCTGTTTTTTTAAGTTAAGCTGGTTAGAAGGACAAAGTCTCCTGAGACCCTGGCTTTCACCATTATGTTATTTCAAGATGTTCCTTGCATTTTTCCCACCGAGTTCATTTACCTCCCATTTTACCCATTTCTGAGACAGCACTGCCCATGGCAGTGGCCCCGGGTCACTGGGATGATCTGGCTTAAAGTGATGTTTCAGTCATTCCATTTCTTATCACAACCTTGGAATCAGTTTGACAGCACAAACTGGAGACTAGCAAAGTTCAGGGGGAGAATGGTAAAAAATTTCTTTAGTGTGGCTTCAGGGGACTCAAAGAAACCTATGGCATGTATATGGTATCTTCTCTGTAGCTCTAACTCCTAAATGAATGTAGCCTCTGATACCTCACAAAGATTTCCTTAAATTCCGGGCTGGATTTGCGCTTCAGGGGACTCAAAGAAACCTATGGCATCCATGTATATGATATCTTCTCTGTAGCTCCAACTCCTAAATGAATGTAGCCTCTGATACGTCACAAAGATTTCCTTCAATTCCAGGCTGGATTTGTATGTTATTTCAAGATGTTCCTTGCATTTTTCCCACCGAGTTCATTTACCTCCCATTTTACCCATTTCTGAGACAGCACTGCCCATGGCAGTGGCCCCGGGTCACTGGGATGATCTGGCTTAAAGTGATGTTTCAGTCATTCCATTTCTTATCACAACCTTGGAATCAGTTTGACAGCACAAACTGGAGACTAGCAAAGTTCAGGGGGAGAATGGTAAAAAATTTCTTTAGTGTGGCTTCAGGGGACTCAAAGAAACCTATGGCATGTATATGGTATCTTCTCTGTAGCTCTAACTCCTAAATGAATGTAGCCTCTGATACCTCACAAAGATTTCCTTAAATTCCGGGCTGGATTTGCCCAAAGACTAATGGGTGCACTGGTAGAAAAAAGGAAAGAAGTCTCAAATTATAGGATATTTCATGAAGAGCTGGAAGAGGTGCAAGAAGGAAAAATTGTGCTAGGGGAACAAATCACACTCTTAGAACACAAGAGCTGTAAGAACATGAATGATACAGATTTTTTCCTGATGCTTTGTTCCAGGATTTGCAGTTCAAGTGAACAAGCATGAATGTGCTTTACCTTAAAGGTCAGAAAGAGACAAAAAATGGAATTCCAGCTGCTGCTAGTTCTTCTGCTTCCTTCACTGATGCGTCAGAGACAGCCAGGAATCCCTGAGAGCAATCAAGCCTCATACAAATCAAATTAATTTAAGTGTGTTATTGCAATTCAGCTAATACAGGGCCAGGTTGAAACTAGTTCAGTGTGAAATTTCTAACTACTGTAATTGAAGATGAGAGCGAAAAGCAAAGTGTTTTGGTTTAAATTTTATTGTTTGCATCTCCTTCCCTCTGCAGACTATGTGATGGGAAGTCCCTCAGAGCTGTATCCAAATCACCTTTAGATAGGCAGTGATTAGGCCATCCTTGAGGAAGTAAAACACAGGTTTAGCTACCAACTAAACGTAGATGGTATTCACCGTTGTCCTCCAAAGACATTACTGTAAAACTCATATTGATTTAAAACCCCTGCAAAGTTTTGGGGTTGATGCCTGAGAGTGCATGTGTGTGGTGGTCTCCTCAGATTTACACACTGCAGAGCAATGTGTATAAAATGCTGTCCAGGGAGATAGTTCCTTTTGAAATACTTGATTGGTTCCCCAGATTTTCCTTTGGGCTTGAATTGTCCCTCTTTCCTCAACTCTTCTCTCTCGTGCCCCCTGCACTTGCCCTGCTGCAGACCAAAAGGAAGCGTAAATACCTTGTCCTGTGCTTCTAGTGTGTATGTAGTATCTTGGGCTTCAAATAAAAGGAGAATATGGCCAGCTTCTCTTAGGCTGTGTGTGTATGTGTGTTTCTAAAGGACAAGCAAGAAGATTCTGAGATCAGAGTCCCATAACAACAATTTAATCCTCATGCTCTTAGGGTAAGAGAAAGAAAACTAATCGGGAAAGAAGAATGTTTTGCAAGAAGGTAAATATTTAGTGGGTCATCTTTAATGTTAATCATTAATCTGTTGAAAGAAAAGCAGCACATTTGTATTGGTAAAGAGCTCACCAGACTGGTAATACTGGCAAACCTTGAATTTCTTCATAATTAGAAATGAGACTGAGCTGTAAAGTTAGCTGTTGAGGACGAGAAAGCCACCTCTCCATAAAACTGGATACATTCAGATAATCACTGAGGATTGAGCGTGTACATATATATTTTCACTCATCTATTTCTCCAGGACTTTTCACATCTTGGGGCTTGGAACTGATGGAACCGGTCCCAGCCATTTTTCACCTGCAAGGCAAACCAGCACAAAAGAGAAAGTTAAAATCAAATACATAGAAGTGATTGGCCAGTCACATTTCTGCAGCAGGAAGACCATGCCTACTCTTCTTTTGAAGGAGATGGAATTACTAATGATGGAATATAGATTTATATCTTGTTTGCCATGCTTTAGCCAGCGCCATAAATCCTCCACTGTCTAGTCACAACTGAAGCTGTACAGAAGAATTATCTCCCTCTGTCCCAGATGAGAGATTCTGCAGGTCTGTGGCACGCCACATGATGGTGAAGCCAGTTCTTTTTAGGAGTCCTTTTGTGAGGGACTGAGGGTAAGGAAGAGAAAAAGGGAGGAAGGCTGGGGAGTCAAGAGAAATAAAAGGCAAATCTGTTGAAGTCCTTGGAATTGAGACTGGAAACCAGGCCGTAAGACAATTCCAATTAGGATTAGTGACTATCCTAGTGGATGTTTGGCATTTATTTTCCTCACTCTTGTTTTCATCAAGAATATTTTTATAGAATCAGAAGCCCATCCAGAAAAGAAAATAAACCTCAAAAAAAATCCTGTTTAAGCCTATGACTAATTTTAATTTACATTAAGATTTCCTGCTGAAATTTTTCAACAAATGTATCAGAGCTAATTATGTGTATAACTCTAGTGACAAACGCTCTCAAGTGCCAAATCTTGAGATCAATAGTCAAATGTCCTCTATACCATGCAAAAGCAGTTTTATTAGTTATCACATCCTATTCCAATTCTCTTTAAAAATTTGAAGTTTACAGACTATTAACAGAAAAATAAAAAGAATGATGGGCAATATATGAATTTCTGTTAAAAAGTTGTGTAGTTAGGTAATTAGAAGTTATGGACTGGGGAGCTGTGATAATGTGCTTCTGATTAAGAAGGAACAGATATAAAATTAAAATGTTAAAGGTATGGGGGAAAAAAAAAAAAAAAAAGCAGTATCAGCCATAGTCTTAATCTTAGCCAAGACCTAATGTCCAGCATCAAAAGGTTAAATATGGACATTTTGAAAACTAAAGAGTTTCAATGGTAATTTGAGGATGGCATGTGGAGCACAAAGCCTTAAAACATACAAGGAGGAGATGGAGAATTCAAATTACTTCTTGTTTGGAAAAGGACAACATCTTTAGTCACTTGAACTGTACATTCCAGTCAGCGGTTTCATCCCAGGAGAAGGATGCCCAACGTTATTAAATATTTGAAAGCCCTTAAGAGTGTTTCAGTTAGCAGTATTACATACTTCATTAGAAGGGAGTGAAAAGCATGAAACCAAAAGTGATGTTATTAGGTACACTCACCTATAACGCTGCCTAGTAGCTCTATACGATCAGAGCCAAAAAAGAGATGAGGTTCTCCATTATAATGTGCCACAACAGCAGGCATCCCAAATGCCTATTGACACCACGGAGATGAAACAGAGAATGTTATAATGAGAGAAATTTTTTGCAGACACACGATCAATCCTTCAGGAATAAAAAGCAAAAGCTTTGACGTTTTTTCCTCCCCTTCTTTTCACCTTCCTCATTCTTAAAGATGAGTCTAATGTAGCCCTCAGAAAGTAGGAGACTCTCCAGAGCCTGTGTGCCCCTTTTGAAGGAGCCAAAAAAAAAAAAGCAACCTGATAAATCCACAGTTTTATGTCAAGTAGCGATAAATGGTATTTCTTAGTACTGGTCCTGTAGCTCCCCATTCTTGCTGTCCAGCTGGAATGAGCTGAATGAGTCAGCTGTGGTTTCCCAGATGACAAGGAGATAAAGCTACCAACAGCTGTGAATTAGCCTTCACATGTTCAAAACGCAAAGACCACCTATAGTGCTTTATATGGTCTATATAGTGCTTTCTACTCATCACCTTCATCCTTCCTTGCTTCCCAATATTCTTAATATGGAAGGAATGCATAGCTGTGGTGCCAAATGGCATTGGAAGCTTCTCACCCCGTATTTCATTGCTTCCTCTGTTGTCTCTCGCAGTCGGTTCTTCACTGCAGGGGTTGAAATCATTTCAAGTAGCTTCTGGGTGAGCTCTGATGATAGCCCAGCCTTTTTGGCAACCTGAGAAAAGATGTTATAATTATAAGCACTCTAATATTAAATATTCTCATTGCTACTAGTCTAGTGAATTTAATCTTCAGTACTATCACCCAAGGTCTATTAACAAAAAAATTACAAAATACCCTTGAAGCACTGTCTTGCTGTATTCCCTGTCCATTGATCATTTATCAACTCTCAGATAGGAAGTAGAAGGGCTATTTTAAACTTCTAAGCCCCAAATCTGCACATTTTTTCAGGAATTCCTAAACAGAAAAAAAAAGGAAAAAAAACCCAACTAAGTTTAACCTTTAATCCGATGACTTACCAGATAACTTAGCAAAAATGTTCTGAAAAAGAAAATCTTACTGTACAACCCTGCCAAGACAAAACCATTTTATATAACCATGTGGCCACATAGGATCTAAAAGTGATACTGCACGAAAGAGACTGTAACTCTCTGAGGTTAAACAGTTGCTAGCCTTAACTGCTGTTTCTCTTCAGCCTCCTTTGTGCCTCTGCCACACAGGAATGGGATAAAGCGGCCAAAGGTAATGGTCCGGGGTTTATTGAGTAACATAGCAGTTACAGCTACCTATTTTAATAAAATATTTCACAAAAAAACGTTAACTTCCATGCCATCTACCTGAATGACATGCCTTTTTATTTTTTTTTTTAAATATTTAAAAATGCTTACAGTATTGCACACGGAGCAGAAATCCCCCATGCAGGTGTTAATGATTTTTATTTTCTCTCAACGACTTTTTCATTTAGTATCCACATTTTAATGTACTTTCTCCTACTTCCAGGTCAGGGAGATTAGGAGCTCTTTGACTCTGCTTGAACAGGAGATAAACAAGTATAGTACTGGAGCAGAAAAAAATGCCACGTATGCTTGTAGCCAATTGACTCCAATATTTACACAGAAATGTAGTATCTTGTCCTCACCATGTTAGGGCAGGAGGGGTATTTAAGTGGACTGAGGCAGGATTCAAAGACTATACATTGCTTCTATAGTAATTTATATGAAGTTATGGCTGACTGGAAAAAAAAAAAAAAGAAAAAAATACTAAGGAACTATATCAAGGAAACAACATTCCATTTTTCTAATTGATGTGTAAAATAAATTCACCTATAAAGACTCAGATGAAAAGGCTGGGACTCTCTCTCTGGCTGGGATGGAGTTAATTTTCTTCAAAGCAGCTCCTATGGTTCTGTGTTTTAGACCTGTGACTGAAACAATGCTGGTAACACCTAATGTTGTAGCTATTGTTGAACTGCGTTTTCACAGTGTGAAAGCCTTCTGTGTTTCTCACTCCACCACCTGCCATGGATAGCTTGGGGGTGCACAAGGTGTTGGGAGAGGACACAACAAGGCAGATAACCTGAACTAATCAAACTAATCAGCTATTCCGTGACATATAACATTATGGTCAGCAATAAGATCGGACACAACAAGGCAGATAACCTGAACTAATAAAACTAATCAGCTATTCCGTGACATTATGGTCAGCAATAAGATCACAAAATCATAGGATGGTTATAGTTGGAAGGGACCTTAAAGATCGAGTTCCAACCCCCCTGCCATGGCCAGGGACACCTCCCACCAGACCAGGTTGCTCAAAGCCCCATCCAGCCTGACCTTGAACACTTCCAGGGATGGGGCATCCACGACTTCCCTGGGCAACCTGTTCCAGTGCCTCATCACCCTCACAGCAAAGGATTTCTACCTAATATCTAATATATATCTCCCCTCTTTCAGTTTGAAACCATTACCCGTCATCCAATCATTACACTCCCTGATAGAGTCCCTCCCCATCTCTCCTGTAGGCCTTCTTCAGGTACTGGAAGGCTGCTATAAGGTCTCCCCGGAGCCTTCTCTTCTCCCGGCTGAACAATCCCAACCCCGTCAGCCTGTCTTCATAGGAGAGGTGTTCCAGATCTCTGATCATTTCAGGAGGATGCAGTTGGCTTTCTGGGCTGCCAGTGTACATTGCCAGCTCACATCGAGCTTCTCATCAACCAACACCCCCAAGTGCTTCTCCTCAGGGCTGCTCTCAATCCATTTTCCGCCCAGCCTGTATTTTCACTTGGGGTTGCTGTGTCCCAGGTGCAGGACCTCGCACTTGGCTTGGTTGAACTTCATGAGGTTTGCACGGGCCAACCTCTCAAGCCTGTCCAGGTCCCTCTGGATGGCATCCCTTCCCTCCAGCGTGTCAACCACACCACACACCTTGGTGTTGTCAGCAAACTTGTTGAGGGTGCACTCAATCCCACTGTCCATATCTCTGACAAAGATGCTAAACAGCACTGGTCCCAGTACCAATCCCTGAGGAGCACCACTCGTCACTGGCTTCCACTTGAACATCAAGCTGCTGACCGCAACCCTTTGAGTGCGGGCATCCAGCCAGTTCCTTATCCATTAGTGGTCCATTCATCAAATCCATGACTTTCCAATTTTAAGACCAGGGTGTCATGTGAGACAGTGCCAAGATGTGTGGAAGGAGATTAGGAAGTTTAGCCACCTTTTACTTGCAGACTGTCTGAGCATCAGTCTACCTGTGAGAGCAATTGCCTTTGCATAACTTGTTTTCTTTTCTTTCTCTCTTTTTCTATTTCTCCTTTCCTGATTAAGCAATTTTCTGTCAAACCACAAGTTTTCTTGCTTTTATTCTTCTTTTCCTCTTTCCCTGTCCCACTGGGCAACGGGGGGAAGTGAGCAAGTGCCTGTGTGGTGCGTAGCTGCCTACCTGGGTTAACGTACAGCTGTTTAACTAGATCCTTCAAATCTTGCCTCTTGAAAAGGCAAAATGCAAACCTTTGCTGAAATTCTGGTAAAAAACGGTACACTTAAGTTGAAGTGCAAGGACTAGATTCCAGGAGACTCCAGGCAAACAACAAGACTGCAAGTTTCAGGATTCAAATAGGGATGTAGGATAGAAAAGAACTAGTCATGGACAATTTCTCTCTTTTCTTCATATTCCAAGAACTTAAAAAATAAAATAACATAGAAACAAGAGCCCTTAACGAGGATCTCACGGTATACTAACTTACCTGCCATCACAGCTTTTAGTGTAATAAACAAAACCTTTACAACAAAAGAAAGCAGTGTAATTGCTAAGCATGTAAAAGGGCAATACAACACTGAACTTAATAGTAAAACCTGGCTCCATCACTCCAAAGTATTGCATTTCACCTGAAGATTTCATATAGCAGGAAACCTTAATGCATTCTGGAGACACTGCTTATATTTTCACTACTGTTTTTTTAACAATTCATTGTCCACCCTGGTTATTTCCCCACATGAATTAACAAAAAATAAGATTCTGGCTCTGAGTGTCATTCAAAGCATAACAAAAAGAAAAAAAAGAAAAAAAAGAAATCATTCTAAACAGACCTGCTAGGGAAATTAAATCCACTTTTTTCTAGCTGAAATTATTCAAAACTCCAAATGATCATTTGACTAAGCCATCTTCATGTCTATTACTGATCTAAGCCATCAATAACAATCAGTATCAGAAACAGAAGCACCAACAAAAAGGAGAGACACTTACAGTTGATATATTCTCCGGCTGACTGACATCTCCACACTGGTGAAAGAATAAAATAAGTAATTGAGTACTTAAGAAAAAAATCTCAGTTCTGGAATTGAAAGCAAGTTTTCTAAGAAAATATAAATAAAGTTGCTAGAGAAATTTCCTCAGAAAAAGTTATAAGTCAGCTAATCTGGGAATGTATTAAGTGATTTCTGATCCACTCAGCCTACAGGATTCATCATACATACCTAAAAAAAAGGCCAATTAAGCTGATTATAAAACAGTTATTTTCTTGTAATGGCTTCTCCACCTTTATGACCTTAAAGTTTTCTGCTATGACTTTTCACTGAAAAACATTTCCTTTCTCTTGCTCGAATTCCACATTTGGACAAAGTGGGGCAGGAAGGATGACAGAGAAAAGATCAAGAAGTTGGCTTCATAAAATACTGACCTGTGAGAAAAAACGTATCCAGAACTCCCTAGATAAGGGTTCCACGTATTGTGGTTGTGTCATATCCACGGCTGTGATAAAGCGCATGGCCCCAAGAGTGCCTGGGATTAGTGAGGAGACAGAGAAATAATACTGAAACAACAACATCAGGAACAGATACGGTCCGTGCAAGTGCTACCTAAGAACAGAAAGATCTTCTCTGTAACAGTCCCCAAACAGTGAAGCTTATGTTGATTCACAGTATCTTCCACGCTAATATCATTCACGAGCACATTTCTCCAGAAGTTCCTTTTATGATTAAAAAACCATACACTTCGTATTGCTCACAGATACAGAAGAGGCTGCGGACAGGGAATTCATCTTCACCTTTACTGTTAACGCAGAACTTGAACCGTAAGTGCTAGAGTTGAAAGAGAGCAGCTAAGCTAAGTCTCTTACTTACTTGAACCAATGATATGTTGCAAGTCAAGTGCTGCAATATTTATAGGCACTTGGTAGTATTTTGCCATCCTTTTCATATCCTTCAGCATGTATTCTCCACGCTTTGGCAATAGTGCTGGGGGCTTGTTACCTTTCAGAAAAAGTTGAGATTTTCAACTGTATTATAGTAAAACTAGACAAAACAAAGCTGAACAAATTAGACCTCACCCATACATGTACCTAAGGAAGAGTATAACTGCATACTGGCTTACTGACTTACTTACATTATCTTTGGAATAGAAAGTGCTAGGATTTAAACAGGATCAACTCTTTAAGTTAGCAGGATAAGTTTTAAAGCAAGGTACAAACATCCTAGCAGGGATTTATATTGATTCTGACAGAAGACTTTTAAGCTACACAGGTACTAATGCATGGGTAAATAAATGTAGAGACTTGTTAATTTCATTATTTATGAGTTACAAGTCTCAGTGATTAACTTGTTCTAATAAGGCCACCAAGTTCTATTTCATGGCATACTTGGACCCTTCATGCATATTACAAGCTGCAAGTGCTCCACAAATTAATTCTGGTTTGAACTCAACAGAAAACTTCTAGGAAACCATTCCATATGAAATTATTATTATCCTGGTTTAGAACTGATGAGCTTTGGCATAGACTGTCTGTGCTGTGTGAAATTCCTTGTGGCTGATTTCTGAGTCGCTGCCCAGCTCCACATCCTTATAATTAATTTATTATCAGTGCCCAAACTTAGTTGAAAGCTGGCTCTGTGGGCTCTGCGCTCACTAAGAGCTTGCCCACTAGTGTCCTGCTAAGTGAAGGTTATTTCCCTACTGAGCTCTTCTCCCCGCATCGCCTACCAGTTGCTTGCATTATGCCACCAAGGAAAGCCGGACGTAAGCGCAGATCGATGTTCCAGATGTGCTGGTACCGGCAGAGCACCTGCAACAGGAAAAAGCAGTGACAGATGAACAGTCAGAGGAGATGTCCGTAGAAGTTGCGTGCAGCTAGGAAATAAGCTAAGGCATGGAACAGACACTGCAGGCAAGGCCTTTTCTATCTTTTCTGGAGTCCTCAACATAGAAAGGACGTGTGCCTGTTGGAATGGGTCCAGCGGAGGGCCACGAAGATGATCAGAAGGATGGAGCACCTCTCCTATGAAGACAGGCTGAGAGAGCTGGGGTTGTTCAGCCTGGAGAAGAGAAGGCTCCAGGGAGACCTTATAGCAGCCTTCCAATATCTGAAGGGAGCTACAGGAGAGCTGGGAAGGGACTCTTTGTCAGGGAGTGTAGTGACAGGACAAGGGGTAACGGTTTTAAATTGGAAGAGAGAAGATTTAGATTAGATATTAGGAAGAAATTCTTTCCTGTGGGGGTGGTGAGGCACTGGAACAGGTTGCCCAGGGAAGCTGTGGATGCCCCATCCCTGGAGGGGTTCAAGGCCAGGCTGGATGGGGCTTTGAGCAACCTGGTCTGGTGGGAGGTGTCCCTGCCCAGGGCAGGGGGGTTGGAACTCGATGATCTTTAAGGTCCCTTCCAACTCTAACCATGAATATATTACTGCTAGGGATAAAACCCTCTTCTGGAGGCTGCCAGAGGATTCCATTCTCAGAGACGCTGAAAGGACCGCACTTGTCTTATGACTACACAAGCCTAAGCAGTGGTAAACATGGAAAAGATCGAGCTCATGAGTGCACACTCGCACTTGTTAAACGTTGTTAACTCTCCCTAAAACAGAACTGTCAGCAACAGCTCCCACACCAGCACAGGCCGTGGCTGCCGCTGGGCTGAGGCACGCTTCCCTTGCGGCCCTGCTTTCCAACACCTGAGGCCCAAACCGACATGACACCCCCACACCGGCCTACCCCTGACAAGGGAGGTAAAGCCGGGGTAAAGGCCCGCTTCATGGCGGGGTGTAGGAAGGTGCTGCCCTCAGCAGGGAACGGCTCGGCCCGCCGCCCGGACGAGCTGCCCTTCAGCCGGCCGCTGAAGGAGGCCGAGGCACAGCCACCCGCCCGGGCCCGGCCTCAGCAGCCGCCGCCGCCGAAGAACGGCGGGGGGGGGGCCGGGAAAGGCCTCCCTGCCTCCCTCCGGCCGCCCCTCACCTCAAACCCCAGCCAGGAGTAAGGGGACACCACATCGTAGAAGAGCTCCACCAACGTCCGACCCATCTCGGCGCCGTCCCGTCCTCCGCCGCTACCGCTACCCAGAGCGCCCCAGCGGCCGCAGCACCTCCCCCGGGGCGGGGCGGGGAAGAACTGGTCCTTTTTTTAAAAAAAAATCTGTACTCACACTCAGAGTATTTAAATAATAGGAAACAAACAAAGAAATTACCTTATGCTGTAGTATTCATCTGTGGACAGAACACTGAGATTGGCCAGCTATATGTGCTGCCCACCTACAGTCTGTCAGCTGCAGTTGTTCCAAAATACATTGCACAGCCACCATCTGTCAATCATAAACTCTGTGGCCAAAGAGCAATTTATGAATTTAGAAATGCTGAAAAGCACAGTTGCCCATGGAAATGCTAACAAAGGTTATTAGACATGTTGATCAGCAGTATAAACAAATATTAACTGGTTTTTACTTTTTTTCCCTTTTTTTTTTTTTTAACTATTTTCCTTTTTTTTTTTTTTAATGTATTATGTTACACAGAACAATCAAATAATCTCTAAGTCTCTTTCTTTCTCCTTTCATGATATTAAAAGTGGTGTCTTAGCCCAGTGACTTAGCGTTGATTTAGCCCAGCTATGGAGGAGAATCCATGTTGTACCTTGGATCAAACTGAGCACAAACAGGTGAGGTTGGATACAAGGAAGTATTTGGTTCATCTCAGTGCAACCTCTTCTGCCTCAGTCCTTGGCACAGGATTGTCCGGTGTCCTGATGTTGGGCTAATGAGGTTAGTGAGATTGTTTAGGAAAGGATTTTCTTGCCTGTGTGTCTTCTCAGCTGTTTGGGACAAACTCACATTTCTTTATTTATAATAATAGCTAAACACACTGTTGGTTTTTATGTAGATTGAGAGTCTCATCTAGATTATGGTGACTCTCACAGGTATTTCTAGGCACATCATTACACTGGCATGCTCTTGGCAAATTATCAACAGCCTGCATTTCCACTGCATTTATCCAAAAGATCATATCCATGTTGAAGTTTCAGACCTTTTTCTTTGACATGCTGTTGAATAAGGTTCATTAAAAAATTCCTTCAAATTCTTGAATAAATTAGCAGCTTTCTTGGGTGGAGAGAGGGAGTGCCTACTAGAAGGGTAGGGCTCAGATTTTGAGGGACAAATGGAGATCAAGAGAGATGATAAAAATACAAGAGAGGCTTTTTGTTTGAAGACCTTAATGAAATTTCATTAGATGCCAAGACAATACTTCACCGCCTGTTCCATCAACATGTGGAATTTTCAGGCTGCCTTCATACAATTAAAAGAAGTGGTGTGACAGACACCTATAGTTATGACCACCACTTGCCATTTTTGGAAAGAAATTGAACTGTCTCTTACTATATAATTAGTATGACTGTGGGAGACAATAAGTCATGATGATGTAGAGGGAGAACAGAGAAGAGTAACTTTTCCCTCCAATCAAATGCATGATTCACTTGTACATAATTCAAATGGCAGACGTGCATCTAAAGTGAGGACAAATTTATTCTAATCCTCTATTTATTCTGTGTGACAAGCAAGAATCTCCAGAAGATGAAACAGAACTTTGGTTACTTTCTTGCAGTCCAGTCTCCGTTCCTAATGATCTCCAGAAAGCTGCCTCGTATCTTGAAGGAGAAGCATAAGCTTGAGAAGAGGTCTTTAAACAGTTTCTAATAAGAAGATATCATAAGTTGAAAAATTAACTCAGTAGAAAAAAAAAATTACAATGAAAATATTTATAAATAAAAAGCAAAAGTATCCACACACTGGCAACAAGAAACTGCAAGGGAAATTAGAAAGCTTTTCTTAACAGCCATGCTGAAAATAAACCAAACTTAATTAAGCTAATCCTAAATGCAGGTTGTTCTGGTTATACTAGTACCCGATTAGCATTTTGTGAACAGAAGGGTATTTCCAAAAGTGGTCACTACAGCTCAGCAGTCTCTATCAGTGTCCCAGCCCTTCAATGTCATCATAGCTTGTATCTTCAAGAGCAGGGGATGAATGTCTGTCAGCCTCAGAGGTCCTGTTTCCTGACACATTAGGACTCGGGTCTGAAAACAGGAAGGGAAGAACATCAGATAAATGTATATCCTGCATATATTACCTTTACAGCATTGTGCAGGTGGCAGCATGGGCTGTCTGTTGTCTTCTCCAGAAATTAGGACCATAGATATGCATCGCTGTGAAAGCCCTGAGAAGTGCTTGTCTCATCCTGCCTCCTGCTACATGTGCACATATGCAAGGATCAGGCTTACTTCTCCCAGAAAACAGGGTACTGATGTAACTGAAAACACTTCTAATCGGCAAACTTGCTGAGGGTGCACCGTCCATGTTGTCAACAAAGATGCTAAACAACACTGGTCCCAGCACCAGCCCCCAAGGAATGGCACTCATCACTGGTCACCGCTTGGACAATGAGCTGTTGACTGTAACTCTTTGAGTGTGACCGTCCAGCCAGCTCCTTATCCACCAAATGATCCATCTGCCAAATCCATGTGTCTCCAATTTAGAGACAAGGATATAATGAAGGACAGTGTCAAATGCTTTGCACATGTCCAGGTAGATGTCTGTTTTTCTTCCCCTATCCAAGAAGGCCACCAAAAGCAGGTAGATAACAGATAACATGGATTTGTCAAAAATAAATCACACCAGATAAATCTAATTTTTCTTTTTTTGATTATCTGAAGGTGGTTTTATAAGGGACTAGAGCAAATTGTCACTCAGGTCACAAGATATTTTTATAAGTAAAATAGAGAAATATGGTCTAACTTAAAGCTCTGTAAACTGGATACAAATTCAGTCAAAAATGATATTCTTCATGTAGCTCACTGTAGCAGGTAGGATTCTTTGACAGCCCTAGGCACAACTATGTATTTTTATTAAGTCCTAACATAAAAGACACATGTTCTTACTATGTTTTCCAGGTGAAACCATACTATACTATAATTCAAATGATCCTGGCAAAGTTTTCATTAACATATAATGTAATTTAATAAGGACCACTTGCTACACTACAGATGAAGAGAGAAACAATCAACTGCATAATTAGAAAGTACAGTAACTATAGATTATGAAAACTGACAGCACTGCTCTTCTGGCCTCACCTGTCCATGATTCCTTGTTTCTGTCACTTTCTTCAGGGATCCCAATGTTTTTCTGTTCATTCTGCCCAGAAATAGAAGCATTTTTAGGTCCAGAAGCTTCTGTAACATCGTCATAGCCATCTTCCAAGGCATTTCCAGGCAGTGGAGTGACATCTGGAACAGTACAGGTATTAACTGTAACAGGAAGAGATCTTCCACTAGAGAAAGCAGTGATAAGGGCCTGTAATACCGACATTCTCATGATGATAATGAACAATTATAAACCAAGAATCCTCCTGAGGACTGTAGGGATTCCAGACAACAATGATATAGCTCCAATAATTGTTATACATTGCTGTAGCAAGTAGAAAGTTAAAATCAACATGGAGAAGGGACAGGAAGGGAAAGAAGATTTGGAGGAGGCAGTTAGTGATGGGCTTTATTTCAGAGTAAGATTCCCCTTTGCATTTCGTAATTGCACAATGACAAATAACTCCTTGTTTATCTCTGTGTAGCACCTGTTTCCTTGTCTTTTCATGACTTTAACCACCTTCAGATGAAACCAGGACACCTATGGACATGTGGCTACATATTTAGTCCAAACCTTTAGAGAAAAGTATCTGCTTCTCTTCTCCATGCTGAAAATCCCCAATTCTCTCAGCCTTTCTTCATAGGAGAGGTGCTCCATCCTTCTGATCATTTTTGTGCCCACACTCTTGACCTGCTCCAACAGGTCCATATCCATCCTGTACTGAGGATTCCAGAGCTGGACACAGTACTCCAGGTAGAGTCTCAGCAGAGTAGAGGGGCAAAATTGGCTCCATTGACTTGCTGGCCATGCTCCTGGGTATGACCTGCTGACCCAGGATATTATTTGCTTTCTGGGCTGCAAGTGCACATTGTCAGCTCATGTCCAGTTTGTCACCCAAAAGTACTCACAGGTCCTTCTCCACAGGACTGCTCTCAACTCATTCATCCCCTAGTCTGTACTGAGCCTGGGGATTGCCCCAGTCCAGGTGCAGGACCTTGCACTTGACCTTGTTGAACTTCATGAGATGAGATTCATGTTCATGTATTTCTCAAAGCTCTCAAGCATATTGACTGCAGAATTCAGCTTGGTGTCATCTGCAAACTTGCTGAGAGGGCACTCAGTCCCACTACCTGTGTCATTAATAAGGATATTGAACAGTACTGGTCCCAGTACAGAACCCTGAGGGACACCACTTGTTACTGATGTTCATTTGGACATTGAACCTTTGACTGCAACTCTGTGGATGCAGCCATCCAGCCAATTCCTTATTCATTCATCAAACATCATTCCTTATTCATTCATTTTGTGAGTAGCCAGCTTTCTGATTCCTCAGGGGCAGCTAGCTCTGTGGTCTGTACTTAACTGGAAGCCATCCCTCAGAGGACATTAGTTTTCACTGTTTTATAGTATATACATACACACATGGACGTACCAATTATGTATATATGAAATTATAAAACAATCAAAGCACTCCTACTTCACTTTTTACCTAGTACTCAATATTCAGTCTGAATAAGGAAAAGAGATCTTATTTGAATTTGTCTTCTTGATGAGCATTTCAAAGCAAGTAAGGAAAACAAAAGCTTTTAATATAACTTTAAATAATAAAAAAACCCCTTAATATAAGAAAACCAACAGAAATAAAATTAAAGACGTAGCACAGCAGAGTTAGGGGTATGGGCAGCTGAGGTCCAAAACTGCTTGTGCCTTTGGCCGTTGAACTCTGAGACCAGCTAAGAGCTAAGATGAGCGCTAGGAAAATGGGATTATTTTCCAAACACTTGCTCTCCCTCAGCTTTTTCAAATTAAAAAAACCACATGACTAGTAAACTGCTTTTGTCTTCAGATCACTCATTAAAATTCCCTAATTAACTCCAATGGTATGCCAATATTCTTCTTTTGAGCATGTTTCCCCTCTGTGGTAACTCTCCCCATTTAGCTTAGAAACGAAGCAA